TATCTATCACCTTAAAAATTTCTAACAAATGTTCTTCCTAAAAGTCTAGTGATTATTCTTCTTAACATCAGGATAAATTTTAATCTGTTTTTAAAAAGGGCTTATAGATAAAACAATTTGACTATCACTTCTGAAAGTTATAAGATTGTTAACTAAGTTATTTGAAGTTAACTGTTTTAATGTTACAACCTAGAATTGTTAATTGATTGCTGTGGGAAAAAGAGGGAATTGGGTAAAAGCCTTATCCAGATTGGTTCTGCCCATTCAAAACAGTCCTCCTTGGGATAATGAAGTCAACAGGCAGGGGCACCGGGATTAGCCCCTCCCTGGGATATTATAAGGCAATTCCCCTTACTTTGTAAACTTGCCCCGCTCCCTGAGAAATTTTTAAAAAATAAATCTGTGTGAGCAAGGTCATCTGCTTTGAGAACAGAACTTGTTTGGAGTTCCTAAACAATGAACTTGGCTTGCTGAGAAGTTAGAAGTTTATGTACAGTAGATAGATGTTGCCTGCAACCAGATTGTACACCGAATGGAGAGGCGTGAAATAACTTATGACATGGGCCAGGCGGAGTAGAATTACTGACTCAGTTTATTCATCTGAGGGCACAAAATATATAAGGAAGATCTAGCCTAACTTCAAAGAGTCCTCCCCGTGAGATACTCCCCAGAACATCTGCTGAGGATGGGACAATCATTTCCTCCTTATCAGGGTTCCTAGATTGGGCTGTAGACTCCAAGGTTTTCCCAGGCACCTTGGCGCCACCTGCATAGAGGAGTAAATATGTAAATCTAAGGTTCAAAGAGAGAGAAGGAATGTCTCAGAGACCTCTTTATCAGGAAGGAATTGGGGAGCCGTACCACTTAATCCATAAGCCCTTTTGGGTAAAAGCCTGAGCAGAGGTCAAACTCTGCCTTGGATCTTAAACCCTTATCAGACTCTTAAGATCGGCCCTCAACAGATAGAAATGATTTCTAATGATTGGCTTTTACACCAGGAGAAGTTTTAATGTTAAGTGCAGTTTCTTATGTATGTGAGTCCTGGTAAATCTTTATTGCTTATTGCAATTCCATGGGAGTATATTAACTGTATCTGGCTTTAAGCTATGGTTAGTGAAACTTGCTGTGTGAGGTAAAAGGCTCTTGGGACTATAACTAATTTTGCTTTGAGTTTGAATATGGGTATCTGAGAGAAATGCCACAAGCTCCTATGGGGTAGAGATCTGCATCTGGGAAAAAGCTGTGAGGACAATCTTAGCCTCAATCTAGGATGGGATCCTCCTGGCTCAGTTTCCCCATTGTGTTCCTTTGAGAAGGAATGTTTCCCACCTGACTATTCCTGAGTCTGGCTATGATATGGAATTGATACTGCATGATTGGAGAACTGTGACTGTTACCTGAATTCAAACAGAGCTAAGGATTTTCTATCCTGTCATATTTGGATGTCACATGTCCCTGCCTTTTTCCTTTTATAGTAGATTTCTCTGATCAGAGCAAGTGGTCAGTAAAAAATATTAGCACAATATAAGTATGTGAGATCTTGCTGTTTTGATCTGAATTTGTGGTTATCCCATGGCCTAAGTATACAATCAGTGTTTGAATTTATCATATGTAAAAGATTCAATTTCTGAAAGTATAATTAGAGAAGAATAAACAAGCTTGTGAACAAGGACATAAATCCATCAACTTGTGAGGTTGAAGTTAGTAACCTCTTTGTTTTGTTTAAGGAATAGGATTCCAGCATAGTTATGTTAGTGAAGAGTAGTAAGAGCTTTTTTGTGTTAAATTAATGGGAAATCTAATATTATTTTAAATCTGGAATTAGAACATGTACAGAAATTTATACAAACTTCTGGAGACTCACCTCAAGATGTTCCCATTGTTTAAAGGGATTATGAGAGCAGTAGTATTTGTCTGTGGTCATTCTCTTACTGTTACCAATGTGAGATTAAATTCTTATTATCTAGGATGTGTGATTTTGTGGGACAGAAATTTACTATTGTTTTGAGCTTTGATTACCAGGATAATTATCTGAGTTGTCATGCAGCCAGTAGTAGAATGGCATGTGCTGCAGGCTGTAAGGGGGGAGAAGAAGGAGTGCTCCTCACTGTGTATAAACAGGTCCCCGAGAGGTCCCCTTTGCCCATCGGTCCCCTAGAAGGACTGGCCCGCCCACCTAAAATTCGTCCCAATCCTCCAACCCCCACTAGGATCCCCTCCAACCGGCTCAGCACCCCTTAGCCACCTAAGATTCTTCCTGATCCTCTGGCTCCTAGTAGGACCCCTCAGGCTGATCCGCCTCACCCCTCAATTATAAGACTGCTCTGAGCCATCCGTAGCATTGTCAACTCCACCCGGCCTGACCTAGGACCTAGCTGCTGGCTGTGTATGGATGCACCACCCCCATACTATGTGGGAGTGGCAGTTAATGGTTCTGTTTGCCGTAGCCCAGACTTGGAGAATTGTTGGTGGGAACAACCTAAGTTGACCTTGGGGGATGTCCAAGGCAAAGGTACCTGTCTTACTTCATCCACCTCATCCCTGAAAACTTCTCCTTACTCTCCTGTCTGTAATAGTACTGTGGTTGTTCCACAATCCTCCTCCTCTTTTTATTCAGCGCCATCCGGCACTTGGTGGGCCTGTCTGGATGGGATCACACAGTGTGTCTCCGCTGTGGTGTTCATAAAAGAATCTGAGCCTCCATGTATATTAGTCTCCATTATCCCCAGGGTCTCACTTCTTCAGGGCCCGGAGGGTTGGGAGTACTTCACTCATGAGGGCAGTGTGTCCTACTGAAGCAAGCAAGCCGTTCCCCTCCTCATCCCTACCCTCAGTGGGGTTGGGGTTAGTGGGATCAACTGCTGTAGGTACTGCTGCCCTAGTCCGAGAAGAGGCCAGTTACCAGGAACTTAGTGCTCAGGTCGACGTAGACCTCAGTCAGTCATCTGGAGCACTCTATATCCCAACCGGAGAAACAGGCCAACTCCTTGGCAGAGATGGTTCTGCAGAACCGGAGGGGTCTGGATTTACTGTTTCTCAGGCAAGGTGGCCTTTGTGCCGTCCTAGGGGAGGCCTGCTGTTTCTATGCCAGTAACTCAGGTGTAGTTCAGGAGAGCCTTTCCCTGATATGGAAAAATATTGCAGACAGGCAGAGGGAATGAGAAGGGAACGAAAATTGGTGCCAGAGCCTGTTTCGGACTTCCCCATGGTTAACCATTCTTATTTCTGCCTTAGCCGGGCCTTTGTTCCTCCTTACTATAGTCCTAATTCTTGGCCCTTGTCTAGTTAATCGGCTCCTTGACTTTGTTAGATCCCATATTAATTCAGTTAAATTACTGTTGGTTAGAGATCCCCGTTATCAGACCCTGGCGTCTGCCTTCTTTGCACCCTACAATGATGCAGCCCCCGCCATGTCAAGGGTTTGACGTAATACACAAAAGAAGTAGGGAATGTAATGCAGAACATTATTTTGCCATTTAGGTAATAGGGCCCTTTAAGCCATGGAAGGCAAAAGTTGGTGCTTCATCTTGCCCCAGACCTCTTTCCTCCTAAATCTAAATAATAGTGAAATGTACTCTTGCATAGCTCAGCACAGCCTGTACCTCCAATGCAAATGGATAAGAAAGCTTGCAATAAAATTGCATTAGATAATTATGTTTATACCAGAGACCAGGACACCTGGTCTGGTTTGTGTGATCTCTGACCCGTAATAATGCTTGGGTGCTTGTGCCCCAATTTCTCCCTAGTCTCAGAAACACTGTCTCTAACAACCACTCCCCAGCCCAAGGACACTGTGCCTAGCAGTTATTCATGCATGGGCCTCAGCATGACCCTTATCTCTCTCCCTGGTACAGCTACACAGAGCTGGGCTGCTCAGGCCCCAGCCCTCAAATCATGTCTCTGGAAGCCTCCCAATTCCTCAGTAAGTTCCTGTGTTGTGAGAAAGCTTTCCTTTGTTGCAGAGCATTCTCCTGTCAAGACAGAGGGAGAGGCGTGTCCTTGACCAGCCCAAGAACTCTTCCTCTTGCCAGACTTCAAAGATCCATGCCCCTCCCTGTCCGGTATACTCCCTGTGCTTTCCCATCCATAGCCCCCAAAGACACCTGCATCTTTGGATTACCTCATCAGTGTTCCTCACATTTCTTTCCCATGCTGTTTTCTATATAAATCCTAGCTCGACCCCTGATGGGGGCTGCTTGATCTGGATATGCATACCCCTTGCAGCTGCGCTAATAAAGTCCACATCTTAAATCACGTCTGGGTCTCACTCACTGATTTCTCAGTACAACATTGGCGTTACACTAAACGTCTCTTGACTGAAAGACGGTTTGAGTGTGTGAATTTGTTCAGGTGACTCTGCCTTGGCATTCTCAGGGTCCCAGCACCCCAAACCTCTACCCCAACACCTCTTCAGAGGGACTTACCCAGAGGGACTTACACAGCTAGTAAAAGGTTGCATTTGAACTCGGGTCCTCCTGACTCCAGCTTGGGCGCTTTATCCACTGCACAACCTAGCTGGACCAAAGATAATAATAGCTAAATATACTGCTCACGATGTGCCAGGCACTGTACTAAGTGATTTACAATTATTATTTCATTTGATTCTCACAATAACTCTGGGGTGGGGGGAGGGAAGGTGCTATTACTATCCCCATTTTACGGATGAGGAAACTGAGGGTCATGGATGTTAAGTGATTAAGTTATATGTGATTAAAGCACAGACAAATGAAACTGATAAAACTTTTTTTTTCATAAGAAACCAGTTTGGGCAATTATACCCTAGCAGGATCAAAGAGCCAATTTACCCCTGGCTTGCCCCTCCTTCTCGTACCCAGGTAAGTAGGCGAGGACCTCTGGGATGGGATTTACTGGAAATCCTGTGGCAGTAATCTTATTGCAGGGTTCCGCTGCTTCCAGGAAGTCTAAGTTGGACTACATTGCCCAGAAGCCTTCACTTTCTTTCCCAGTTGAACCTAGTGCAATTTAAATGGGGTGTGCCCAGAGAGAGTCAGCCATAGTATCTGGAGCCAGCTACGGCCAAGGCTTCAGCAGCATCCCTGACCAGGCTCAGCCCCTGCAAATTTAGGGAAGGATGTTGGGGGTCCTGGCCTTGTTGGCTTCACTCGTCCTCCTCCTGATCTTGGCAGCACCCTATATCAGGTGAGTGACAGGGTTTCTGCTGCAATCCCTTCCCCCACCCTCCTCTCCCTCAGCCCCCCTCCTTAAGAGGTGAGGAGCCTCTCCCTGCAGAGGAAGGATGAAACTCCTGACTGGAGACCCCGAGGAGCTGAGCCTGATTGGTGTTTCCTTGTAAATGGTGGTCCTAGTCAAAGGCAAAGGAAGGCTGTGCTTGGAGGGGAGCAGAGGACAGTAGATGGGTCTAAGGAAATTCTGACCCACCGAAAGTAGCCAGAGTTCTAGGAGGTCAGGGCATCTGCTTCAGTGAGGAGGTTCAGTATGCCCTTGGAGTCAGCAGAGCCCTGCAAAGAGGTGCTTGGCTCGATCTCAGCAGTTGTGGTTTGCAAAGTCCTCGCGGGGAGAAGATGCAATGCAGAAAACAGCTCATGTTCCCCTTAGGCCTAACGTTAACATCTACCAAGTTGTTTTCTTTAGTAGGAGTAGTCTGATGAAATCACAGATCTAGACCTTCTTCCCACGCTCATCACCTAAAAAGAGAGAGAGAGAGAGAGAGAGAGAGAGAGAGAGAAACATTCTAACCGAGGGCTTCAGGTAGAGAGAGAGCACATTTTTCACCCAGACCTTAGTCCTCACCAGCTCTGATAAATTGCAAAATCACTTTGTTCTCTGTTCTTGTTACATTTCACTTGTTCTGTCTGTTGACCTTTGGTATACTTACAATCCCAAAGAGAGAGACCTAGGCTTCAAAGAGTTGTACAACATTCCATTATTCACTGGGAGTTTGAGTTAGAAAAAAAAAATACTCAGTTGCTCTCTTTGTCCTAGAGTTAAAAGAAAAAGTTCATAGATGATGTTATATTAAGAGGGACACGTGCTACTTCCATAAGGACCCAGAAACATAAATGCTCACTTTTTTGAAGGGGCTCCTTTTACTCCAAACCAAGGGCAAATTAAATCTTCCAGAAGGAGTTTTTTGGCGAGGAGGACACAGACTTCCTCTAAACAAAGAGAGCTGTGTGTCCAGGGTTTGATTGGTTCAGTCTAAATGATTAATGAAGAATAATTATGGAGCATCAAAAGATGGTGGGCAACTAATGGCATTAAGTAGCACTTGAGGTCATATTTGGTGATGCTCAACAACTTATCATATTCTCCTCCTCCTTTTCTTCTTCCTTCTCTCTCTCTCTTTTTCTCTTTCTCTCTGTGTCTCCGACTTCTTTCTGTCTGTCTCTCTTTCTCTCTCCTTGGATTCAAGAGACTTGGGTTCAGGTGTGGCCTCTGGCACATGTTTTGTGACAATGGGAAAATTCCTTAAATTCAGTGTTATAGGCAAATCTCTTATAATTCAAATTGTGGAGTTACTGATTAGCATGGTAGAGGTACTTTGATGAGACTGGTGAAATCACAGATCTAGACCAAAAGAGGGTAGATAAACACTCTTAGCTTTAGGGACTGAAACGCCAAAAGTGTTGTGAAACACCTGGAATTGAAAATTGGTGCTGACTTTAGCTGTGTGATCCTGGGTAAAGCAGCTAAACTCTCTGAGCCAGGGTTTCCATAACTGCAAAATGGGGCGTAATACTTATACTACCTCCTTCAAGGATTGGGAAGTACTTTATAAAGCTTAAAACACAATACAAATATAAAATACACACTCACTCCTAGACACTGTTTATGATTATAACAAACTCCTTGGCCTATTTAAGGAGCTGATTAAAAAAAAAAGCCACCTAACTTTGCACATTTCTTTTAAGCATGCCCAGGATGGAACAAACAGAAATGTAACCTTTCTACAGAACAAGGCTTGTGATCTCCTACTATGTGCCAAGCACTGTGTTAGGGATACAAAGACAGAATGTAATTGTTGAAACTGAAGCCTAGTGCCCTGTTGACTGAGGTTCTAACCCTGGTCCTTTTTTTTTTTATTGCAATTTTAAAATTTAAAAAAATTTTAATTTCATTTTCACATCACAGTTATTTCCCAGTATGCCTCCATAATGGATCCTCACTCATAATAAAGAAAAAGTTAAACAACTCACAAGACAACTTTCTGACATTCTATACCCAGAGTACTTCAAACTCTCCACTTAGGTGTATGTAGATTATCCTTCAGTGCCTGTTCTTTACGACCAAGATTGGTCTTTCCAAAAAACCCAAGTTTGGCTATCTTTGTTTACATTATAGTAAACCTATATTGTGTTTTACTTTCTTTACTCTGTATCAGTTCATAAACTTCTTTCCATGTTTTTTTAATTCATGTTTGTTACTTCTTTTTAAAAATATATTTTACTTATTTCAGTAAATATTTCCAAATTACATTTAAAAAATTTTTAACATTAATTTTTTTAAATTTTGGGTTCCAAATTCTCTCCCTCCTTCCCAACCCTCCCCCACCCTTTGAGAAGGCAAGCAATATATTGATTATACATGTGAAGTCATGCAAACCATATTTCCATATTAGCCATGTTGCAAAAGAAAACATACAAAAAAAAACCCCAGGAAAAAAAGTGAAAAAAGTATGCTTCAGTCTGTACTAAGTGTTCATCTGAACGTCGATAGCATCTTTCATCGTGGGTTTTTTGGAACTGTCTTGGGTCATTGTTTTGATCAGAGTAGCTAAGTCCTTCACAGTTGATTATTATGACAAGATTGCTGTGTTTATTATTACAGTGTGCTGTGATTATTATTACACTGTTGTACCATGTTCTCCTGGTTTGCACACTTCACTTTGTATCAGTTCATATAAGACTTCCCAGGTTTTTCTGAAAGCATCTTACTCATCATTTCTTATAGCACAATAACATTCCATAACGATCATACACCACAATTCCCCAACGGATGGGTACCCACTTTGTTTACATTTTTTTCTAGCCCTAGTTCTTAAGCTATAGAAGAGTTAAAGGAGTTCCCTGCCCACCCCCACAGCATTGCTACTACCACCATGCTTTGTTGGTCTGACTCTTTCTGACCCCATGGTTCATAGCGTGCTAATACTGTCCATGGAGTTTTGTGGGCAAAGATACTGGTGTGGTTTGCCATTTCCTTCTCTAATGAGTTAAGGTAAACAGAGGTTAAGTGACTTGTACAGGGTCACATAGCTGGTAAGTGTCTGAATCTGGATTTGAACTCAAATCTTCCTGACTTCAGGCCCCATGCTTTTTCCACTGAGCCATGTAGCTGCCTCTACTATCAATATGAAATAGATGCAATTCATTTAACTGGGAGCACTAAGACTGTTTGCCTCTGCATCATCCTCTCATCTTCCCCTTCACAAAAAAGTCCACCCTCAAAAAATCTTTGACAGGATAACAAAGGATGTTTATTGTCTGAGAGCCACTGCAATGGAAAAAAATCAAAGCAAATTCTAGTCTTGAGCTATAGACACTTGAGGCACAAGAAACCTAGGCTGAGATGGGAATCTCACTGGAAAAAAAAATGGATGAATTTTTTCCTTCTCCCTCTGTAGGAAAGCAGTTTCCAAAGGAATATGTACATCACCTGTGCAGCTTCCTGGAAAGGTAGCAATAGTCACTGGAGCCAACACAGGCATTGGGAAGGAGACAGCCAAAGACCTTGCTCAGAGAGGCAAGTTTATGTTCCTCCAGTCCCCTCCAGTGTCTGCCATTTCCTTTCTTGTGTTATTTGTTGTGTTCCATCTTTCCCTCCTAGTTGTAGGTGCCTATGGCTCAAAATTCAGGAGTATCCTTAGAACCTGTGTTTCAGCTATCCCATTGAGTTCTGACCCTATGCCTATTACCAAGCTTTACCCACCAGGGGTGTGCTATGAATGTTAGTCATTTACCGAGTAAAGTTCTGATAGTTTGTGCCCCAGCTACCTGCTCAGTAAAATAAAGCTAATGATTCCTCCTTGAAACATTAAAGATCAATATTAAGCATTACTTAGTTCATCCTGGTCAGTCAGGTTGGTCTGAGTTAATCGTCCTTTTCAGAATCTCTGTTGTCACACCCACTCCTACTACCCCTATTTATGCTTATTCTGGACTCTGGGCATCTCCTCCCTTTTCCCATCTGCATTGCTTACCTTAGATTTATTCAGTTACTATTTTGTCTTCCTCTGTTGCCCCTACTCCCAATGCAGTGGGGCTCCCATACCTGGTGGGGATTGAACTGAGTGGGACGTCTCCCCCTCCCCCAGACAGGATGACTTACCTTTTCCCCTCTTGGCTTCCCCCATATTCTGGACTTCAGCCTATGACTCCCTTCTCCCCACGATGAAGGATTAGGGATAGGGGCTGTATATATAGTATATAGGGCCTATGAGATGATGCCACTCCCAATTATGTAAGAACCTCCTCTAAGCCCATCATAGGCATCCCCACCAGATTTGTTTTTAAAATCAAATTAAAATTGTACGGTGCTGTACACAAAAATGGAACTTGTTTATATCTTTACTCTTAGGAGCTCGAGTTTATATTGCCTGTAGGGATTTGCAAAAGGGAGAGTTGGCCGCCAGTGAGATCCGGGCTAAGACAGGGAACCAGCAGGTCCTGGTGCGGAAGCTGGACCTGTCTGACACCAAATCAATCCGAGCCTTTGCTGAGGCCTTCCTGGCAGGTGAGAGTCAAACTGGGCAATTAGGAGGTCAAGGTTGAAGAGGGGTGAGAATAGCACACTTGCTGTGTGGCTCATATCAGTTCTACCCCGGGTTGTCCTCAAAAAAGTATGCATTGAAGAAATAGTGGGCTGGAGGAATAATTCAAATTGGGCTCTAATCTTGAATTACCAGTAGGAGTTCAAGTCTTTTCTCTCCCCTGGAAGCCTTTCTCACTGGGATGACTTCTGATTCTTCTCTTAAGGGCCTGAAGATCACCTGCATCTGTCACCTGCCTGCTTCATGCAAATCTATCATCCTTTGTAGCATATGGAATTAACACAAAGTCTGACATCCAGTAGGATACAGGATTGATTATTGATTAATTAATTGATTAATTGAATTAATTAATTTGATTGAATTAATTTGATTCTTGAGTCTCTTTTTTTCCATGCCTAAGTATATACAGGTAGGCCGGGCAGGTATCTAGGCCATGGGTAGCCTTGGCCAGCAGCTGCTAAACTCCTTAAAGTCTGCCTCTCCTTCCCTGTGCTTTGCAGAGGAAAAACAGCTTCACATCTTGATCAATAACGCGGGGGTGATGATGTGCCCCTACTCTAAGACAGCTGATGGATTTGAGATGCACATGGGCGTCAATCACTTGGGTAAGGATCCCGATATCACTAGAAAGCAGAAGATCTTATCAAGTCCCTCATTCTTACAGTTCTCTGACTTACGTTCAGCTTTTCTTAGAATCTTCACAGCGGCCACATTGCTTTGACACCTAGCACTGCTTCAGCAGTGATCCCTATCACCAGGTCCATGTCGGAAAACCCATGCTTTAAACCTGTTGTAGCAGAAATCCATTGCCTCAGGCTGCTTCTGCTCTCTGGCATCTGATTTCTGAGGCCACCTCATCAAAGTCATACACACAAAAAAGATTTGATCCCCTGTTTGTTCAAAGGACTTGAGTCTAGTATTCTACCTGGGCCATTGTATTCATTCCCTCTCTTCAAGCCCAGAAGCTTCTAAAGTCACGTCAGCTACTCCACATCTATCTTTGGGTATAGTCCTAATTTTCTTTAAAAAGACACCATGGCACAATGGAAACCATGTTATACTTGGATTTAAAAGATTTAGGTTAAAATTCTGTCTCTGACCCACCTTACTACTTGGGAAACATCAGGCGAGTCAGAAACTTAGTCCCCTTATGTACTGTAATGAGAATAATACCTTTAAATAGCAGTCTTCCAGAGTTCTTGGTGAGGCTCAGATGAGACAATGTATGTAAAGCACTTTGTAAACCTTAGAATGCTATGTAAATAAATGCTAGTGATGAGATTAAATTAAGACTTTGGCCTGAGCTTCCCATTTTCTATAACTGGTCCCCTGCTATTATTGCCTCTGAATTTTCTCCTCTTCTGCTTCCCTTCCCAGGTCATTTTCTTCTGACCCACCTGTTGCTGGAGAGGCTGAAGGAATCAGCCCCATCAAGGGTAGTGAATGTGTCTTCCTTGGCATTCCACTTGGGCAGGATCCATTTTTACAACCTACATGGCGAGAAGTACTATAACCGGGGCCTTGCCTACTGCCACAGCAAGCTGGCCAATGTGCTTTTTACCCAGGAGTTAGCTCGGAGATTAAAAGGTAGGCCTGCAGAAGAATGGGAGTGGCGGGGGAGGGGGGAGGAGGGGAACAGAAGGTAGACAACAGCCATTGTCTTTCCTCTCTCTTCACCTAGGCAGAATCTCTCTTTCCAAAATGTACAGGATAAAGAATACTACAATTTGAGTCTGGCCTACTGCTTCCTTAAGCATCTCTCATTCAGTGGCCAGTTGGAAAATAGATAGGGACCCACAACCTGAAATAGTTGGGGACTTGATCTTCATTTATCAAGCTTGGAATCTCACCATTTCTAAGTAAAGTAAAGCAGCTGGCTTCCAGGCTTGTTCTGTGTAAAGAGGAGCCCTGCTGATGGCTCTCAGGAGCCTGACGTGTGCTCTAGTCTTCCGAGATGGTGCTGGCAATAATCCAATGATAGGGAGCCTTCATGCTGAGAGTTCTGCTTTCTCTGCCCTTATTGAGATTTTGAGTGCTTGTATATATATGGCTTCCCATAACTCCTGGCCTTCTAATTCTAGGTACTGGGGTTACTACATATTCTGTACACCCCGGAACCGTCAACTCTGAATTGTGTCGGCATTCAACTTTCATGAAACTGATGTGGAAGCTCTTCGCCGCCTTCATTAAGACACCTCAGGAGGGAGCTCAGACCAGCCTGTACTGTGCCTTGACTGAGGGCCTTGAGCCTCTGAGTGGGAAACTTTTCAGGTATAATTCTGTTTATAGAGGTCCAATTTTTTCCCCCAAAGGATGTCACTTGTATGACAACACATCCAGAGTTTTAACACGATGATGGAAATATAAATTATTGAATGATTTTATAAATGTTATTGATACTTTTTTTGCATATTGATAGAGCTGGGCAGTCCCTGAATGGTTTGTCCATCATACTTCTTATACCAAGTCATATTTGAACTATTAGTGGCTTGGGTCTTCTGCATCTTAATTTTGATGCAGAAGAAAATGCACTGGACTAAAGAGACCTGAATTCTAGTCCCTGCTAAGGTACTGCCTTGTGGATATCATCACCCTCGTTGTTCAGTCATTCAGTGGTGTCCTACTCCTTTGTGACCCATGGACCATAGCACACCAATACTGTCCATGAGGTGTTCGTGGCAAAGACTGGAGTGGTTACCATTTCCTTGTCATGCATTCAGAGGTTAAAGTGACTTGCCCAGGGACATACAACTAGGAAGTGTCCGAGGCTGGATTTGAAACTCAGGTCTTCCTGACTCCAGGCCCCGAGCTCTATCCACTGAGCCACAGCTGCCTCTGTCATCACTCTTATGCCACAGTGCAGATCCCACTGGAGATGTAGACGTGAACAAGGACTTTATCAGCAGCTAGCTGCCGCCTTAGATATCCCTGCCCAAAGTACTTTGCATCTTGGGCAAATCACTTGACTTTTGTAGGCCTCATTAACCTCTTCATCTCTGAGGGCATTGGACTAGATCGGCAATTCTCAAACTTTTTGGTTCCAGGACCCCTCTGTGCTCTTAAAAATTACTGAGGACCTCAAAGGGATTCTGATTGTGCGGATTATAGCTGTTGATGTTTTTGTTCTTGTTGAGTCATTTCAGTTGCATCTAACTCTTTGTGACCCTATTTGGCATTGTTTTGGCAAAGATACTGGAGCGGTTTACCATTTCCTTCTCCAGCTCATTTTATAGATGAGGAAACTGAGGCAAACAGGGTGAAGTAACTTGCCCAGGGTCATACTGCTAGTAAGTTTCTGAGGCCAGATTTGAACTGAGGAGGATGAGTCTTCCTGACTTCAGGCCCAGCACACTCTCCACGGCACCACCTGGATGCCCACTACTGAAATTAAATTAAATTAAAATGAAACCGTATTTGAAATTAAAATGGACACATTTTTAAAATATTTATTCATTCTTTTAAAATAATAATAAATACATTACATATTAGTATAAATAGAATTTTTATGAAAAATATTTTCTAAAACAAAAAAGTGAGAATGACATGGTTTTACATATATACGTGTGTGTGTGTGTGTGTGTGTAGTTGTTGCAAATCTCTAATGTCTGGCTAATTATTAGAAGTCAGTTGGATTCTCATATCTGCTTCTGCATTCAATCTGTTGTTTTGGTTGAAGAAAATTCAGCTTCATACAGATAGGGAGCTGGAAAAGGGAGGAATATTTTAACAGCCAAAAAACATATTAGTATTGGGAAAAAAAAGAAACTGGCAAGCCTTTCTGGATAAAGAAACCAACCTTTAATAAGGGAAACAAAGGTGGTGGTCTACAGTCCACCCAGTATGGTCTGAGACCATGAGTTACAAAATTCATAGTTATTTATAGTTCTCTTGATCCATACGTGGCTCCATCTTGTCCTGTACAACTGTCCTTTACAAGATCGCAGGGCTTTATGATGTAAGGGTTTTCAGTAAGCCCTGATGTCCTAATAAGCCAGAGGGCTTTGTTATTTTAATATAAAGATTTTTATAATGATTATGTAGTCATACTCCTAGAGATAACTAACATAGGCACTCACACTCCTACGGCCAACCAACCCAGGCACACCTGCATTCATATAAAACAGGAATATCTGAGTTAGTTAACCCTAGGAATGTACAGAAGTTTTCACTCGAGACTCTACTCTTACTATAAATCACACAGTTACTTCTTATACTAAAATGATTGTAGCTGATAGATGATCAGCAAAGAATTGCAAAGCAAAGCACTCAAGGCATTGATTACTGATTTTTCCTGTTACAGTATTATTATAAAAACAGACAACTCTTTATTCTCATTGCCTTAGGAGCAAAGCCTTCTTGGAATCAAGACAAAGATGGTCTTTGGAGAGGGATCCCTTTCCAATTGGATAGACTTTCATTTTAGTCTGATTTTGTTGGTCAAACGGCAGTAAATAAATTCGACAAGCATTTATCAAGTACCTATAGCATGCTGTGTTAGGCACAAGGATATACTCTAAATGCTTACATAAATAAAACAGAAAAAGAGGAGATTAATGAATTGGGCATACAACTAATAAAACTAGAAAAAGAACAAATTAAAAATCCTCAACTAAACACCAAATTAGAAATATTGAAAACCAAAGGAAAAATTAAGAAAATTGAAATTAAGAAAACTATTGAACTAATAAATAAAACTAAGAGCTGGTTTTATGAAAAAACCAATAAAATAGATAAGCCTTTGGTTAATTTAATTAAAAAAAGAAAGAAGAAAACCAAATTACTAGTATCAAGAATGAAAAGGGGTAAGCTACCACCAAGGAAGAGGAAATTAAAACAATAATTAGAAATCATTTTGCCCAACTATATGCCAACAAATTTGACAATCTTAGTGAAATGGATACATATTTACAAAAATATAAATTGCCCAGATTAACCAAAGAAGAAGTAAAATACTTAAATAACCCCATCTCAGAAAAAGAAATTGAACAAGCCATTGAACTCCCTAGGAAAAAATCTCCAGGGCCAGATGGATTTACGTGCGAATTCTATCAAACATTTAAAGAACAATTAATTCCAATACTATATAGGCACAAGGATATATAATGAAGATAAATAAGACAATCCTTGCCCTTATGGAGTTTATAGTCTAGATACATCCAATTATTGCCAAGTCTTGTCAATTCTACCTCCAGTGTTTTTCGCATTCATCTCCTTTTCTCCATAACAATATCACCACTATTGTAATGAAGACCCTCATTATTTCTCTCAAGGAGCTACTGCGACAGACTCTTAATTAGCCTCCTTACCTTCAGTCTCTTCTCTGCCCCCCACCCCCACCCCCGAATCCATCTTCCACACAGGTCTAACCTTTTCCCTTCCTTGTTGAGTAAGTTCCCTTGCCTTTAAGATGAAACTCCTTTGTTTGGCATTTCAAGGTAGGTTCCAATATACCTTTCCAGGATTATCAGGAAGCAAGCAACAAAGCATTTATTAAGTACCCTCTATGTGCCAGGTATTGTGCTAAGTGTTTACCACGAGCAGGATGTGTCTGTCTACCTTTCCAACTACCATCCACCCATCAAGAAATGTTAGACCTGGAAAGGACCTTAAATCATCTTGTCCAGTCCCCTAATTTTACAGATGAGAAAACTGAGGGCTACAGAGGTAACATGACATATGTGAAAGAAACAAAATTTTTTATTATCTCTCCCTCCCATTCTTCTCTTCCCCCACCAATTGGGACAATTTTTCTGAAAAAAAGAAAAGTTCCTCATAATGAATATAAATAGTCTAGCAAAACAAATTCATACATTGGCCATGTCCAAAAATTTATGTCTCATCCTGTATTTTAAGCTTATCACCTCTCTGGCAGGAGGTGGGTGGTGTGTCATCTTCAATCCTCAGAACTTGTTTCAGGACTCAAATTAGGATTTGAACTCAAGTCCTGTGAAACCAAGTACAGTGCTCTTTCTACTATATTAGGTAGCTAGGTGGTGCCGTGGATAGATCACTGGGCATGGAGTCAGGAAGACCTGAGTTCAAATCTGGCCTCAGACACTTATTAGCTATACGACCCTGGTCAAGTCACTTAATCTCTTTGCCTCAGTTTCCTCATCTGTAAAGTGAGGGGGATAATAACAGCATCTACCTACTTCCCAGGGTTGTTGTAAGGATTAAATGAAACAGTAATTATACAGCACCTGACACGTAGTAAGCGCTATATAAAGGTTAGCTATTTATTATTAGTATGCCTTGTCCAGAGTATAGGCCAAACAGCTCTGCTTCATGGGCACTGTCAGTAACACCAGCCTCTCTTTTCTCCTCTAGCGAATGCAGTCCTGCATGGATTTCTTCCCGGGGACGCAATGTGACAACGGCGAGGCGGTTATGGGATGTCAGCTGTGATCTGCTGGGAATCCAGCAGGACGGATAGATGGGAGTAGCCCATTGCTACTCAGTTTTAACGTGCCAAAAGCATTTCTACAAGGTTGGTTGAAAGCGAGCACAATTCCTTCCATTGATGATACATTTGCCTACCTGACTTTAGGGTAATAACCCAATGCACTGCCAGATCTTTCTAAGTTATCTTTTACTTGTAGTCTCTGCCTTGTCTCTGTCACTTCCAGGACCATCAGTAATATTACTGACAGTGAGACCCCAATATTACATGTGCTGATAAGTCTTTCCTTCTGTTCACCTGTAGGTGAATGGGACCAAACTATGGAGACGGAAGGATTATAGGGAAAGGTAGCCCTCTCTGACCTTTATTAGATAGTATCTAGTTCCTACTGAGCTGATCTTCTTCAAGAGAATAGCTCTGTAAACTTAGTCTGGAGATCCTTCATCAAGACCATAACCAGATTCCCCCTTTGGTAAAACCAATCTGAGACTGATGTCTAGACTCACTCAGGAAAATCTTTATTAAATCTAGACTTCACTTTGGCTCTTTCCTTTGCAAAGCCTGGAGCCATTTTTTGGGGGGGTAATTTTTTTTATTAAAATTTTTTTTTTCTGGAGCCATCATTAGATGGCTAGATTAATTTTAGATCAATAGATAATATGAATGAGAGAAGGAACAAATGTCATTTGGTCTTTTTTTTGTTTGTTTTTTGGTGAGGCAATTGGGGTTAAGTGATTTGCCCACAGTCACACAGCTAGGAAATATTATGTGTCTGAGGCCACATTTGAACTCAGGTCCTCCTGACTTCAGGGCCGGTGCTCTACCCACTGCGCCACTTAGCTGCCCCTGTCATTTGGTCTTCATACATACAACAGAATCTGTTTTTCTTTGTAGTTTTGCCCTTCTGTGTCGCTGATGATTACAAACCAGTTAAATGACTGGGCCTTCTTTCAGCTGTGTCTTTGTGCAGATGGTGGGGAAGTTATGTGGAGAAACTGGGCAGATTAGAAAGGGATGGGGAGGGGAATTATTGGAAGTTTAATGGATGGTAGGAGATACAGCAGAATGTGAGGTCAAAGTGAAGAGCTGTAAGGAATGGAAGAGGCCTATCTGTAAGACTGTGGATAAACTAAAATGGTAGTCCCAACCAGCACTAATATAGCTGGGGAAAGCACCTTCATACTGCAAGAAGTCATTTCCTATGACCCATATTAAATTATACTGAGATTATGCATAATTTTATTCCATTTCCAGGCAGCTAGGTGTCGGGTCTGGAGTCAGGAAGAGTTCAAATCCAGCCTCAGACACTTATTAGCTGTGTGACCTTGGGCGAGTCATTTAAACTTAGTTTCTTCATCTGTAAAGTGGGGCTAATCATAGCACCTACCTCCTAGGTAGATCAAATGAAATCATCATTGGAAGGTGCTTGGCATAGAGTGAGCGCTATGTAAACATTAGGTAGTATAATAAATTACTATGATTTCAGAGCATTTGTTTACCATAGGGATTATGTAGATGCCAGTAGAACTACGACTTAGGAATTTAACTTTTCACAACAATGCTTGCATTAGAAAATGTTTGCCTCAGCTGTTCAGAGTATTAGGCCTTGCTGGAATTTGGGTGTTATTTTTCCTGTACTGATACCTCAGATGTTTAACTCTGCAGAGGAGCAATTATGGGCCTGCTCATGCTTCTTCAGATTTAAACATTTCTCATCTCTCTTCCTTATTGTCATCATTACGGCCTAGAAAATGGATCTGTTGTTGCTGCAGAGGGGATTTTTCTGTTTTATAAGACACGAGGGTACAACAACTGAATTAACACTGGTTTTTAACTTACATAGAACTGCTCATGACAAATAAAAATAAATGCTATTTATTCCGTATTATTATTGCTTTTTGACTGGACTTGTGCTTTGATTGAAGTAGGAAGTCCTAGTGAGGAAACTCCCTCCACCGATGCAGTTCAGTAACTGTGGTGCTAGGTGGAGTCCTTGCTTTTGTCACTGCCTGTGGGACTGGGGTGATTTTCCCATAGTGACAAAGGCAGAGAGTTTCTAGGCAGCCTGCCTGACCTTGAGGGTACTACATCAGCAGTTCTCCAAGTTTTTGGTCTCATGACCCCTCTATATTCTTAAAAATTATTGAGGACCCTTTATACTCTTAAAAAGTAAGGAAGAACTCAAAGAGCTTTTGTTTATGTGTGTTATATCTATCAGTATTTAATGTATTAGGAATTAAGACAGGCACATTTTAAAGTATCTATTATTTTAAATGATAATAAATCCATTATATGTTGAAACAAATGACATTTTTAATGAAAAATAACTACGTTTTCCAAAACAAAACCAAAAAAATAAAATTGTGGTTTTGTTTTACATTTTTTTTTGCAAATCTCTTTAATGTCTGGCTTAATAGAAGACAGCTGGATTCTTGTATCTGCTTCTACACTCAGTCTGTTGTGATGTTGTTTTGGTTGAAATACCTGAAGAAAATCTGGCCTCACATAGATAGATAGTTGGAAAAGGGAGTCTTTAAGTATGCAAATAACATCTTAGTATCATTATGAAAATAGTTTTGACCTTCAGTACCCCCAGAAAGGATCTTGGAGACTTCCAGGGGTCTGTGGGCCACACTTTGAGAATTGCTATACTAAACCATGCTTTCTGTTTCCAAAGATTATTATCTATCCAATGAGAAAGGCAGGGTAAGACTTCTGCTCAAGGAAAGGCCTTAGTTCACCATGAACTTGAACAACAATATAAATTTAGGTCTATAGATAATGGTGATTATGTTGAAGGCTGAGCATTATCATTATGCTAAATCTTCTCATCCCAGTGACAAAGTTCTCTTCTTTCCTTGTTTTCTAATTTCTCCCTTGATCCATATATTGCAGAGATCCACATATTGTACCTTCTTTCTGAAAAAAGATTCTAACAGGGACAGAAGCAGTTCTTTAGCAAGAAGGATATAATTTCCTGTATAGAGAAATTTATAAGGAAAAAACAGGGAGGAAAAACTTGCTGGTACCTGTGTCCAAAGAGGATGACACAGCCAGTTCCCTGAAAGATGTACTTTTATTCCTGTGCTTCTCAATCAAGTAATCAATCAACCTTTATTAAGGGCCCACTAAGGGCCAGGCACTGTGTTAAGTGCTGAAGAAACAAACAAACAAAAAAAAAGCAAAAGACTGTCCCTGCCTTCAAGGAGCCAGTCAGGATGCCAGCCTGAACTTAGCCCCATTATCTTGGCCACTAATGGGGTCACTCCTCTATTGAGAATTAGTGGAAGCTATATCACTTTCTACTCTCTCCCATCCTATCCCAGCTTCTACAGGTAGAGATGAGGGAAAGGGAAAAAGCATTATGTGCCAGATATTGTGTTGGGTGCTTTATAAAATATTATCTCATTTGACAACCCCTCACCCCAACCCCAAAGCAGGGGATGTGGTTGTGGTGAGGACTGGGTCCGTGGCTATTTTTCCCAGAGAAAGTAGATAACCTCATGCCATGTCCTTCCTTCTCCCTCTTTTACCCCAAGGCTAGAACGAAGACTGTTGGGAGCTGCAGCACCACCTAACCCCTGATTTGACTATAACGTTTTGAAGTGTGTTTTGCTAGTGAAAACATGTGCTACGTGTACATTATGATGCCTCATCACAGCATGGAGGGGACCTTGGATTCTGGAAGGCTTTGCCACTGGAGTATAAGCTCAGGAAGCTCCTACCCAATTGGAAAGGTTCTAAGAATGGGCCTGATGATGAACAGTCTGAGGCCTAATAAACAGCCCAGCTAAGTTCGTAGAGGTTCATCACCAGAGTGGGATGAACAGGTCATTCCCATTTATTTTTTTTTTTTAACAAGAAGTGTTTTTGGACATAGTCATTATGTGACTTTGTTTTGCTTCCCTATGCTTGTTAGTTATGAGGGTCTGAGTTTTCTTTTTATTTCCAGTGAGCTAGGCGAGGTAAGAGAAAAAAAAAATACATGTCAACAGTTGCAAAAAAAATAATTAAGAAAGTCATGTAAGATTAACTTTTTTTTTAAGGTTGCTAAACTGGCTATAAATAAGTTTAGCAAAGCATCTGATAAAATTTCTCATTATTGCTATGGAAAAAAATGGAGAGACGTGGACTAGATTTGGTGGCTTTAAAAATGGTTGAACGGTCAGTCCCTAAGACTAGTTGTAGATGATTAGATGTCATTGTGGAAGGAATCAGCCAGTGCCAGAGTGGCTCGGGAATCTGTGCTTGGTCCCATGTGGTTTAACTTGGATAAAGGCAAAGACAGTATACCTATGCGATTCACAGATGACAAAAACATCAGACAAACAGTGAACGCCACTGGGTAAAGGACAGGATTCAGAAAAATCGTGTCAGGCTAAAATGCTGGATCAAAGTTAAGAAGATGAGATTTAACATGAATGGAGAGATGTATGACTAGGAAACATACTGGGATAGTCAGGGAGTGAGAATGAGGTTTCACCAGTAGATCAACATTACGTTCTACTGGTCTGGATCCATGCAATGTCAAGAGATCTAGAGGCACCCCCCCCCCCACCCAGCATGCCAGATGACATGCAGGATTTATGGGAACACATGGACAAGAGATGCATAAAATGAAAAGCCACCGATGACATGATCTGTACTGGTATCCAAGAAAATATATTACCAATATCAATGAAAAAAATCTAAAACTTTTTAATGAAAAATTGAAAAAAAATCCAAAATCTGTATTTTTAGGCTTGTCTTTCCCAAACAATTGTATTTCTCATTTATCTATATCTAAGCCATCTCTAGCTTGAAGAGAGATGTTCAGACTGGCATTGTCTCCATGTCCTCCAGCATGACTCTGCCCCAAAATTTCAGTTAACATTTATAGATAAGAATCTTGAATTAAATACCTGGTTCAGCCTGGGTCAACATTCCTATACTGAATAATTTAGTCACTATCTCATTCCTTTTAGACCACTCCCCTTTCTTGGCCCTTTTGTTCTGACTTTCCAAGTCAAACCTTTGTTCATTCTTTTCTAGATTCTAGAGAGGGTTTTAGAGGGGGGAAAATTATTTCTTAATATTTCTAGAGAAACTAAAAAGTAGGTTTTTAATTTGCTTCCAGTTCAAGGGCACTTCCCTTATTTTAGAAAATGACCTAGAGATGCCAAACATTAGGACCAGGCTGAAACAATCCTGATTGTGGGCCAGAACCAGATTAAAAAGTAATTGGGAAATATTTAACAAAATAAAAATACAATAGAACATAGAACATAGATAATGTTATGTGGTTTTTAAAGACAGGGATCCTCACATAAGGTTTAGTGGTTGTGGCCTCTTTTCTCTTGGAGTCTGACACCATTAACCTAGAACACTGAGAGGATTTGTCCAGTATGATCCCAGGCAGGACTTAAATCCAGGACTTACTGGCTTGGAGGCTGGCTTTCTATCCACCATGCCACATTGTCTTTTTAGACTTATGTCAGGTAAAATTTCCTAATGATCAAAGCATGCTAAAGCGGAATGTGATGTCTCAGAAAGTACTGGAGGTCTTTAAGACTGGATGACCACTGATTCTTGGTTGACTTGGTTGATATGTAGGTTAGACTCTGATTTTCCTTCCAACTCTCAAGTTCTATGATTCTTATGTTCCCTTATGATAAACTGATCCAAGTCAACAAACATTTATAAAGTACCTAGCACTGCCAGGTCCTGTGTTAAGCACTGGGGAATACACAGGACAACAAAACACAATCCCTGCTCTCAAAGAGCTCACAGTCTAATGGAGGACTTTAAGCTGAGACTTGAGAAGCCAAAGAGAAAAAATTCCAAGCATGGGGAACAGTTATGGAAAATGCCCGGAGTTAGGAGATAAAGTATCTTGTGCAAAAAACTGTAAGGAGGCCAGTGTCACTGGACTACAGGAAACATGGAAGGGAAAGTAAGGTATAAGAAGACTAGAAGGGCAGGAAGAAGCCAGATTATAAGGGGCTTCAAAAGCTTGGGACCGGGAGGATGGTGGTGCCCTTGACAGTAGAAAGGAAGTTAGGAAGAGAGGAGGTTTTAGAGGAAAAGATAAATTCAGATTTGGACATGTTGAAATATCTATGAGACATCTAGTTGGAGATGTCTAATAGGCAGTTGGAAATGCATGACTGGAGATCAGGAGAGAGATCAGGGTTAAACAAATACTTATTAGAATCAATTACATAAGATGATAATTGAATCCATGGGAGCTGATGAGACAGAGTGAAATACTTTTTTTTAAAGTTTAAAAAATTTTTTAAGCTTTAAAAAAAATTAAATCTTTGTTAACATTTTATTTTTCCCTAATTACATGTAAAAACAATTTTAAACTTTTTTTTAAAATCCTGAGTTCCAAATTCTCTCCTTCTCTCTCCCCTCATTGAGAAGGCAAGCAATTTGATATAGCAGTTTGATGTTATACAAAACATAGCTCCATATCAGTCATGTTGTAAAAGAAAACACAGAACACCCCCCAAAAAAACCCCACCAACAACAAGAAAAACAGAAAAGAATGCTTTGATCTGTATTCAGACTCCATCAGTTCTTTTTCTGAAGAGGGATAGCATTTTTCATCACAAGTCCTTCAGAATTGTCTTGGATCATTATATTGTTGAGAATTAGCCAAGTCCTTCATAGCTGATCATCATACAATATTGCTATTATCGTGTACAATGTTCTTCTGGTTCTGCTCATGTCACTCTGCATCAGTTCACACAGGTCTTTCCAAGTTTTTTGAGAGCATCCTGCTCATTGTTCTTATAGCACAATAGTATTCCATCACAATCGTATACCACAACTTGGTCAGCTATTCTCCAATTGATGGGCATCACCTCAATTTCTAATTCTTTGCCACCAGGAAAAAGAGCACATATAAAAAGAATACATATAAATACTTTTCTTTTTGTTTTTTATCTCTTCGAGATATACCCAGTAGTGGTATTGCTGGGTTAAAGAGTATGCACGGTTTTATAGCCCTTTGGGCATAGTTCTAAATAGCTCCCCAGAATGCCTGAGTCAGTCCACAACTCCACCAACAGTGTATTAGTGTCTCAATTTTCCCACATCCCCTCCAACGTTTGTTATTTTCCTTTTCTGTCACATTGGCTAATCTGATAGGTGTGAGGTGGTACCTCAGAGTTGTTCTAATTTGCATTCCTCTAATCAATAGTGATTTAGAGCATTTTTTCATCTCACTATAGATAGCTTTGATTACTTTATCTGAAAACTGCCTGTTCATGGTCTTTAACCATTTTATCAGCTGGGGAACAGCTCTTATTTTTATAAATTTGAGAAAGGAGGCCTTTATCAGAGAAACTTGCTGTAAATTTTTTTTCACAATTATGATGACTAACTATATTTCCCTCCATCCTATTTCCCCCTGGTTATCCTTATCTTACTCTCTCTCTCCTTTCACCCTGTCCATCTTCAAAAGTGCTTTGCCCTTGATTACCGCCTCCTCCAATTTACTCTGCCTTCTATCAGCACCCCTCCACTTTTCTCTCATCCTCTTCCTCTTCTACTTTCCTATAGGGTAAGAGATTTCTATATCTAAGTTGAGTGTGTATGTTAACCAGTGAAACCATACAGAAGAGAAGAGAGTCCAGGATACAGCCTTGGGGAACGTTCCATCCAACATTATGGACAAACCTGTATGAATATAGCTATTCCAATAGCTATTCCAATAGCAGTGACATAAACAAAAATTCCAAGTCCCTCTGCAAAGCTTTTAAAACCATCCTCCTTTTTTCCTTTTGTCAAATTGCAATATAAATATTTTAATAAAAAATTATTTCCTAATAGTTCTGAGATTGTTTGGACAGTATTGATACCTATGGACTTGTGCTTAAAAGGTCTCTTGGAGACTTTCAAATACACTATATGACTAAAAGATTGGCTACCTGGGTTGACATCCAAAAGCAAATTATGACTGACCATATGAAACCTGTCAATCCTGACGGCTAAAATACCAATGTGAATTTAGAGGAATGACAACTTTATCATACAAATCAGTTTAAAATTAAGCTTAATTTATTATATGCTAAGTCTGATGATGGAGTTCTGCTTGCTAAAGAAAGATTTTCCGAGGGTTTTTAAGCCCGCAATAAAGTTTTTTTGTCGACCAGATTTCAGTTAACTCAATACTTTCTAGTTCAACTAAGCAAGCATTCAAAGTAATGCAAATTATTATTTTTTTTGTATATCTGAAACATTAAATTCACTTTTCCTCTAAGTCATACGTGGGAAATGGCCTGCTTTAAAAAATATATACATACATACATATATATACATACACACGCACAGGTTTTATCTGCACTGATGTTAGAATTTAAAGGAAAACAAATCTTATTAACATATTTTTTTCATTGAATAAAAAGATGAAAAATATATATTGTCCAGATTATAATAGGCAGTTGGATGGCCAGTTCATGGAGTTAATATAGCAGTACATATGTTTGGGAGAGGTACTGTAGCTAGACCATGAGATGGGATGAGATCTGAGTAGGAAGAAAGAAGACTGGATTCCATTCAGGAAGTTGCAGTGCTTTTAAGGATCCCAAATTGCTTCCTGGCACACGACCTGTCTTTTATATTCTTTTTCAGGTATGGAATAGGTAGTTTTATTCCCAGGCAGGGAGGGTATTTTAAAGTCACTAAGCAGGCTTTGGCCCATTTTCTTCGGGTCAGGTCTGCTGCATTGCTTCTCAGGGTTCCTATGGCATAGTCTCTCCCCACGAGTGGAGGAGCCAACAAATGAAGCCAAATGAGCGAACAAGGCAAGAAGAGGCACGAGATTCATCTTTTCAGCACGTGTTCTCAGCAATGCTTTATGACTGTAAATCTTGGAATACCTAGCAATCAAAGTTGTGGATGACACAAAGGATTCAAGCAGGCTCTAGTATCTTTCCAATGATGACATATATTCAAGAAATGATATAAGGGACATAACTGTAAAAAAGCCAGTGTCTGATGGGACAAGGAAATGGGCTGATCCTGGGGGAAGAGAGTGGGATAACAGATAGATCGCCAGAGGGTATTGTGAAAAAGACCTAGAAGAAAACCTCCAGAAAGTTTGTTGGACCTTTTATGCAAGATCAATTGAAGAATATGGAAAAGAAAAACAGAGGATGAAAAGGCATGGATGAGTTCCACTCTGTACTGGAGAGGGGAAGAGTGCCTGCCTACCTTGAGTGGGTGCATTACAGATCCCTTGAAGGATACATTAAGTATTACCACATGGCTAAGAATTGGAAATCAAAGGGATGCCTATCCATCGGGGAATGGTTAAACAAGCAAGCTGTGGTATGTGATTGTGATGGAATATTATTGTGCTGTAAGAAATGACAAGCAGATGATTTCAGAAAAACCTGGAAAGACTTATGTGAACTGATGCATAGCGACAAGTGAACAGAACCAGAACACTGTACATAGTAACAGCAATATTGTTTGATAAAGAATTGTAAAGGACTCAGCTATTCTCAGCAATACAAATGATCCAAGACAATCCCAAAGACTAATGATGACGCATACTATCTGCCTTCAGAAAAAGAACTGATATTGATTGAATACATACTGAAGCATACTATTTTTCACTTCCTCCCTTTTTTTTCCCTTTTATTCAGGTCTTCTTGTACAAAATTACTAATGTGGAAACATTTTACATAATTGCATAGGTATAATCTATATCTGATTGCCTACCATCTCAAGGAGAGGGAGAGAGTGATGGAGGGAAGGATAGAATCTAGAACTCAAAACTTTAAATAACAATGTGCAGGAAACTGAGGCAGAGGTTAAATGACTTGACCCAGGTCACACAGCTAGTAAATGTCTGAGGCAGGACTTAGACTCAGGTCTTCCTGACTCCAGGTCCAGCTCTACTTAGCTGCCTACTGATACAACTGACTCATCGTATCATTTTCATCAGGCAGTGAAGTGTTAATGCAAAGCTTTACTGACCAGAGCACATTGAACCCCACCACCTACCACAAAGACCAAGCATGTTGGCCAAGCAGCTTCTGTGATCTAGGTATCCTAGAATAAACCTCCTTCCATAAGGAGATCTGTGCACTGTTTTACAATTTGATAATTTCACTTCAGTTAAGCATGTAGAGCAAGATGGCAGGAGGAGTAAAAAATATATATATATACATATATATATGTATATATATTTTTCCAGATATGTTAAAGGTTAAAGGGACCTTTTCTGGAAGCTTAGCTCAGAGGCCTAGCATTTAAGCTTATTTCATAGTGCATGTGTGGTAATAGTTTTTTGTTTTGAAAAAAGGACCAATGATATCACGGGGGTGATGTCATGACTTCAGCATGAATTGGATTTACGTGAGGCAGAGCTGCATAAAGTTGTCAGGCTCATTCTCTCTTCCAGAGTCATTGAAGTTCACTGGCAAGACAAAAGTCAGGATGACTGGCGACAGCCTAGGATGCATCTTGGATGTCTGACCACACTCTATGCGCTCCACAGTGCCTGCTTTTGCTGGCTTCATAGCCATAGGAACAAATTGTTCTCATCTGCCCATTCTACCTGGGGAAGTCCTCACAGAAGACAGAAAGGTTCATTTTTCAAGTCAGGCCCTCTTGGATCTTTTTTTTTTTAATTTTTAAAAATATATTTTATTTTCCCTCAATTACATGTTAAAACATTTTTTTAACATATGTGTTTTTTTAAAGTTTTGAGTTCCAAATTCTGTCCCTCCTTCTCTTCCTCCTACCCCACCCCAAGATGGTAAGCAATCAGATATAGATTATACATGTGCAATCATGTAGTCATTATATACAAGAAGGCTCGAATAAAAGAAAGAGAAGGAAAGAAAGAGAAACAGCAATGCTTCAGTCTGTATTCAAATAATACCAGTTCTTTTTCTGGAGGCAGACAGTATACTTCTTTAGTCCTTTGGGACTGTCTTGGATCACTGTATTGCTGAGAATAGCTAAGTCATTCACAGTTCCTCATCGAACAACATTGCTATTACTATGTACGACGTTTCCCTGGTTCTATTCACCTCATTTTGCATCAGTTCACATGAGTCTTTCTAGATTTTTCTGAAACCATCCTGCTTGTCATTTCTTATAGTACAATAATATTCCATCACAATCAGATGCCACAGCTTGTTCAGCCGTCCCCCAACTCATGGGCATCCCTCTGATTTCCAATTCTTAGCCACCACAAAAAGAGCTACTATAAGTATTTTCATATAAATAGGTCCTTTCCCCTCCCTTTTAAAAAAAATATCTATGGGCTACAGATACGTTTTGGTATACAGAGACCAACTGAGTCTTTCAGTAGGGATTTTATGAGATCCTGACAACCAATTACACTTTCACCAAGGTTACCAAATGGAAGACCTGGATCCATCACTCTCCTGTGAAGTTACTGACCTCAGTACAGCAAAGGAAGCAATCTCTGACTGGGCTTCATGGACCCATTTAAGCTGGAAAAGGACCCCAACACCAATGATTGGTTTTTGGCCTCTTGTTTGTCTGACCCTAATAATTAGGACCTAATTCTTCACCTGTTATCTACCAGAGAAGGAGATAGGTGACTTTGCACAGTCCTGCTTAAATCCAATTCACTTGCAAGTCATCATATCACCTTCCTGATGTTACTGGCCCTCTTTGAGAACAAAGGACAAACACCGCCACCACCTAGCCATAAGCACCGAATGGGTGTTGCCTCAGACAAACTGAGACCTGGGAAAGACCTAAAAAGGCCAAGGACTCCCACTATATCCTAGGCCATCTCCAATTGTTCGGATCTGTATCTTGCCACCAAACCCAGGTGGCTCGGGAGGAGAGAATGAAGCTGGTGACTCTGCACAGCTTCCCTCACTTAACTCCAATTCACCTGCAAGTTATGACATCACCTTCCTGATGTCACTGGTCCTTCTCAAGAATGAAGGACAAACAACAATTACTATTACGTAGTTGTTGTTTTCATTTTATGCCCAGCTTTACACCCTTGGAGTCGAGAGAACAGGAAAGCCCACCGTTCATGTATGTCTGATCCAACATGCCAGCTATGCCTTTAACAAAACCAACTACTGAATATGTGCACATGTCCTTTTGTTCTTGGGGGAAGGGATGCCCTTGGTGGTCAATGGGTCAGACATGCAGGACTTGTGTGATTCTGTTTGCAATCAATAAGGCAAACTTAAACAAAATACCAAACTGTACTGCTATAGACAGGACTCCTGATCAGTCACTTTTAATTGGGAAAAGATCACTACTAACTCTTCAAAAGTTTTTACCCTCCTCAAACCTCTTTCTTGAGCTTGCTTGGTATTGTCAGGCCACTGGTACTATGTTATAAGCAAAATGGGAGGCAAGGTCAAGTGAATGGCTAACCTATTGTCTCCCAAATCTCTCAGAGCCAAAGCATCTGTGGGTTTTCTCTTGTGTGTCCTCAAAGGGACTGCATTAAGAACTGACTCCCAAGCCAAATTACAAGCAGGACTGCAAAAGGTTTATTGCAGAAAATGAGACTTTAGCCAAGACTTGAAGTTAGCCAGGAGGCAGAGACAAGGAGGGAACATTCATGTAAAAGAACAGGGTTGGGATATGGAATGGTATTTTAAGGACGTGAAATGTCATGTTGAAGGAACAGCAAGGAAGCCAGTGTGTGGAAGGATGGTAGTAAAGAGTTAATTGTGTAAGAAGGCTAGAAAGGTTGGAAAAGGCCAGGCTATAAAAGCTTTAAAAAACAATAAAGACATTGCTATTTGATCTTGGAGGTAACAGGGAACCACTATAGTTCAGTGAATACTGAGCTAGGTGATGCAGTGGATAGGACCTGGAGCCAGGAAGACATCTTCCCAAGTTCAAATCTGGCCTCAGAAAATTACTAGCTATGTGACTTTGGGCAAGTCCCTTCATCCTGTTTGCATCAGTTTCCTCATCTGTAAACGGAGCTGGAGAAGGAAATGGCAAAGCACTCTAGTATCTTTGCTAAGAAAACCCCAAAGAGGCAGACACAACTGAAAAATGCCTCAACAAAACAACATTCTCTCATTTAAGAAATAGAAAACGGTTTATACTACAACAACAATATGATCAAAATGAACAATTCTGAAGGTTCTTACAAACTACTGAAAACTTAAATAGCAGAACTACAATAATTTTAGACAAAAACACTGTAAAGACAACTTTGAAAGCTGTAAAAATTATGATTAATACTATGAAGATGGGTGATGAAATATACTATTATAGGGAGGTGATAAAGGAGACAATTTGGTATAGTCAGTAGAGAAATTTACAATTGTTTATAATTGACAATATATAATTTTACAAAAACTTTCCTTTTCAACTTTTTTTTAATGGAGTGGAGTAGAAGAGAGAGAAAATGGATTACTGTTAAAATAAATTTTTATTTATGTTTTCTTTTCCTTACATCATCATATCTATCCCTCATATCCTTTCCCCTCCTATTCCCAGAGAGCCATCCTCTATGTAACAAGGAAGAAAGATCAGTATCACCCATTGATACATTGAAAAAAATCAGAAAACATGCGCAATGTGTGTAACACTCCTGACCTCCCATGGAAGTGTTTCTCATGTTTCTTCATTCCAGTATACCTGATCTGCCTAATTCTGTTAATTCACTTTCGATTTTTGGGGTGTTGCATGCATTTTCTTTTTTTACAGATTTTTAATTTGTTTTGTTAAATGTTTGCCAATTACATTTTTACATTTATTTTTGTTTTATTTTTTCCCTCAATTTTAACATTATTTTTAAAAAAAATTTTGAGTTCCACCTTCTTTCCCTCTCTTCCTCTCTTCAGAAGGCAAGAAATTTGATACGGTTTATACATGTGCTGTCACGCAAAACATTTCCATATTACACGTGCTGCAAAAGAAAATGCAGATCAAGAAACCTCAAGAGTAACAAATAAAAAAGTATATTGCATGCACTTTCAGATGAGGTCCCTGTATTAGGCGTTTTACCTGTTATGAGAACTCTAACGAAGCGGAGTAATGTATAATTTTAAGGCAAAAACCTAGGATTAGGAAAATCACCTCGGCTGCTGTGTGGAGTTGCTGGCTCTGCCTCCTGGAGTAAACCCTCTCCAGGCCTCAGCTGCCCCACTCGTCAAAGGGGAATCTCCAGGCCTTCAAGGCTTACAAACCACCCAGTAGTTGTAGACCTCTAGCCCTACACGAGACTCAGACGGTGTCACAGGCCTGGGACGTGACTTTGCGTGATGACGCACAATACGGCCGCGTCTCGGGGAAGCTCCGAAAGGCCTCCCAGGGCTTCCGTATCTCCGGGACTGTCACGAGTCGCTCAGGTCGAACTACAACTCCCTCAATGCACTGCGAAACCAGGGCCCTGGTTTTTTTTTTTTGGTCTTCTCCTCCTTTCGTCGCCTAGTGCGGCGGGTGACTCTATCGCTCACCAGCTTTGATAGCATAGTCGCCTCAGATCTGGTGCCCAAATCACAGCACGGCTCTGGGAGCGGAGAAGAGAGACAGGGAGGCTTCGGTTCCTCTCTTCCTTCTGCGAAAATGTTTCAGGTTTCTCATCAGGCATATCTTGGTCTGCCCCAGTGGGTGGGACTTGGTGACCGGATTTCCGGCTCCGAAGGACCCCGCTACTTCAGTGCCCGGAAGCGCCTCGCCTGAGGCTGAGGTGGTAGCCTCCCTCGTTGGGGGCTATGGAGTCGAGATACGCCGGTTGACCCCGACGCTGGGCTAGAAGTGGGCCCCTGGGCCCGGGAGCTCGGCCCTGCCGGCGTGGGGGAAGCGCGCCCGACGCCATGGCAGCTGCCGTGTCCTCGGAGCCTTTCGAGAAATTGCACGAGATCTTCCGCGGGCTCTACGATGACCTGCGAGGGGTCCCCGACAGGCTCCTGGGCACCGGGGGGACCGGTGAGTCCTGTGGGCGGGGGGCGGGTGTCCGGGGATCCCGGGGCGCCCCGTGCTCTCACGTTTCTCCATTCCTTCCGGGCCTTGAGGCACAAAATCGTGGACTTGTGAGGAAGAGCCTTGGGGGCCACCTAGTCTCCCCAACTCCAGCCCAACCCAGCACCGTTTATTACGTTTATTAAGTGCCAGGCACTGTGCTAAGCACCGGGATTACAATCAATAAAAAGGGAGGTAGTCCCTGCCTTCGAGGTGCTTAAACTCGGCTGCCAAAAACGATCTTCCTAAAGCAAGTCCGACTACGTCATTCTGACACCCCCCCCCAAAAAAAAGCGCACACACACACAAACAACGAAGCAAACCAAACCAAGAGAACTCCAGAGGTCCCTGTTATCTCCAGGGTCAAAGGTAAAATCCTCTGTGCGGGTGTTCAAAGCCTTCCATAACCTGCCCACCCTCACCCCCGTATTTTGCATCCCACCACGTACTCTTGGTCTTCTGGCCGTTCCTGAGCAGCACACATCTCCAGACTCCAGGCGTTTTCGCTGGCTGTGCCCCACTCCTGGAGTGCCCTCCCTCTTCATCCACATGTCCTGGCTTCCTTCTAATTCCAGCTAAAATCCCACCTTCTGCAACGGGAAGCTTGTGTTGGTTGTGTTTAGTTAGGGATACCGTATATAGCTGTATACACACACTACGTAATTGGTCGCTCTCTGGGGGAGCAGGAGCTGATCTTTGCCTTTCACTGTATTTCCAGGGCTTAGCACAGTGTCTGGCACAGAGTGCTTAGTAAATTTTTATTGACTGAATCCGCTGCACATAGCCCAAAGACCGTGGTCACCTACCTACCAACCCTTTTCTTCAAGAGCTCTAATAAGGGAACAAAGCCATCGCCTTTGGGGAACCAACGGGAAGCTGACCGTTTCACATTTGGTCAGCTGTTGGGGAAGTTTTTTTCTCCTTGTAAGTCAAACCTAAATTTTCGTCTTGGCCGTTTCCACCAGTTCCTCCTCATTCTGCTCCGTGGGAACAAGCAGAACTAGTCTCATCTCAATTCAACGGGCACAGCTCCTTTTTTACTCGTCTTCTCCCAGCTAAGCATTCCTATGTTGTTCCACCCGTTCAAGTACGTCAAGCCATGTCTTTGGGCATTTATTAAGTGTCTGCTATGTGCCAGGTATTGTGCCGAATCCCGTGCATACAAAGAAAGGCAAAAAACAAACCAGGTGTCCAAGAAAGTCACAGTCTGATAGGGGTGACATTTTAGCAACAAATGAGATATACGGGATAAGTTGGAAATACTATCAGAGGGAATGCAGTAGCATTATTAAAGGGCATGGGAAAGTCTTCTTGGGACCCTTCATTCTGCTAGTTGCCCTCCTCCTGAAGCTGTTTGCTTCACTGATGTCCTAAAATTTGGGGCCTGGAAAGAAACAAAATATCGTGTGTGTGGTCTGACTGCCACCTCCCCAGTCTATGCTTCTGAATGTAGCTTCCTTTCTGTTGCTTAGAGGGGGCAGCTGACTGGTGCTGGGGATGATGTGCTTCTCCCCCAGTTTTGTTTTCTATTTAGGGCACCAGTCTGAGAAACCACCTCTAGTCTATTTCAGTACTTATGTTTCTGGGAGCTTATCTTCAGATAACAGTTCCTCTTAGACTCTTCTGGCTAAGCATCCCCGTATTGTTGGGCTCATTCAGTCTTCTGTGTGCCAAGTGAGCTCTCCTCACCATCGCAGCTATTCCTTACCCGGAAGCAGCGCTAGAGAAAGTTGGCTTAATTCAACTGAATAAGCGCGATCACATAAAATAATACTTGTAAAGCTCTTTGCAGACCTTAAAGCACTATATAAATGTTAGATGCCATTAGTAGTGATCTTTAGTACTGTGCTTAAGCCACAACAAGGGGAGTTTGGGTCAAAGGTTATTAGAGTTAGGGATAAGTTAAGAGGAGTTTAGGAATGTCTTGTCTTTCTGGATCTTTAGAAACAGAATAGATTTTCAACTCTGATGGTTTAGGTGTGGCTCTCTAATTCTAATCCTTGTGAGATCAAGGTGTTTCATTTTTTAAGGAGGAAGTAGTACTTGTTTTCACTTAAGAGATCGTATATAAGCCACAATATTAATGAGAAAAACAGCATGCATTTTTTTATTGTCTTTCATCTAAAGTGTAGTAATACTTTATGATTCATTTTAGAGATAAGAAGTATGTTCTCTGTGCTTACGGGTGCATGTTGTAACATGCAGCAGTTGAGAAGATTTCTAGCCTGGTGCTATGTGATGCAGAGGTACGGTTTTCTTTGAAAACCAGAAAACTCAGTAGATTACATCTGTCTCATGCTCAGCGTGTTCACCTCTGCCTAGTCCTTTCTCTATCATGGCCAAAGAAAGGAGGAGACAGGTTAGGAAAACTGTCTCTCTCAAACAAATCTAGTGTCCACTCAAATTGCACTGTGGCCAGTCGGTTCCATCTTTATCATTTAGGCCTTTCCCTGGCCACTGAGACCATTTCTTAATCATTTAAAATATTTTTCTATATGTGTGAAATATCAGATACCATACCAAAAATGTACACGTCATAGTCCTTACCTTTACCCTGTATTCTGTGATTTGTGTTTTAAAGCAATAAAATGTATACGCTAAAGACTGTAATAAGGTATTTTTGAATCTAAAGTACTCTCTTCCTCCTGCATTCTTCACTACAAATACCAGACTAGATAGAGTTAGAATTCTTCTCACAGGCTTCAGTGTTAGCATAAGAAGATTTGCCAGTGGGGCAGCTAGGTGGCGCAGTGGATAGAGCACCAGCCCTGAAGTTAGGAGGACTTGATTTCAAATTTGGTCTCAGACACTTGACACTTAATAGCCATGTGACCCTAGGCAAGTCACTTAACCCCATTGCCTAGCCAAAAAAAAAAATAAAAAGACTTGCCAAATACATTATCACCTAGTTCAATTTTGTTCATTTATTCATTCGTCTATGTGTAAAGCATTCAGTGCTGCCTGCCTCTGTTTCTTTAAATCTGAGAGTTCTCTGTTCTTCTGCAGCTTGTGTTGTGTCCCAAGGTGGTGGAGTGGTTTGATACATATTTAAGCATGGGTGAATGTTGCATGAAAAAGCATTTAAGTGCCTACTGCAAGCCAGACATTGTACTAGACATGGAGATATAAACACAAAAAATGAGACAGTCCCTTCCATGAGGGGTTGCAGTATTCAGGGAAGGGAATTTTGGTCTAAAGATTTAACAGGAATTGTTAGTGGAGCTGTGAGGCAGTAACAATGGATATATTGGTCTGATTACTGTTCCCAGAGCAAAAAGAAGTCAAAGTTCTCTAATCATACATTTTCTTATGATGGCATTATGCCTTATACCAGTTCTTGCACACAGATAATTACTAGAAATACATTGCAGTCTCCTTGTATGTCTTTCCTTTGTCCTTTTGGATACCCAGAACTTTATTTGATTATTGTTGTATTCCCATATTTACATCCATGCAGCATGACCAAGAGGACATCAGTATTTTTTTAAAAATATTTTTATTTCATTAAATATTTTGCAATTACATGTAAAAAATATTAACATTCATTTTTTAAAAAATTTGAGTTCTAATTCTCTCCCTCCTTCCCCTCCCCTCCCCTCTCCTTTAAGAAGGCAAGCTATTTGATATCACTTATACGTGTGAAGTCAAGCAAAATATATTTCCATATTAGCCATGTTGCAAAAGAAAATAGAGCAAAAAAACCCTCCAAAAAACTAAAGTTTAAAAAGTATGCTTCAGTCTGCATTTAGAGTTTATCAGTTCTCTCTCTGGAGGTGGATAGCATTTTTTTATAGGTCTTTTGGAATTGGAGGACATTAATATTAATACAGTTAAATGTTTATGTGTTGGGAAACAACTTGAGATCATTGATAGTACTGCCCCAATTTCCCAAATGCATTCAAATTTGCTTTGTCTTGGGCCCAAGTTCATTGTCCATAAGATATGTTGTCCCATATGTGTGTACTCTTGAGTATGAATACTCAGGGGCATTATAGTATGGGAAATTTAATCCATTTGGTTTTTCTTATGTGGGTTAGTTCTTAGGCTGATCTCTTTTTTGTAATCATAGAATTCCTCATGTTCTGGGACTTGATCAGCCTGTCACGGTGCAAACCAGAACTGAAGCTTCTCGCCTATCTACAAGGAATCTCCCTCCCATTTAGACCTAGTGGTTGCACTTACCAAGGAATTTTGTGTTATGCATGAGAGATTCCTTGTTAGAAAGCCTTTTAAGGCTGAAAAAATGGCAAGTGTTTTTTTTGCAATCAGTAAATAACAACAATGAAAAAATACATTCCATAGATCTGCATTTCACAGTTTTGTGTTCAGAATCAAGGCTGTATCACTATGGGATGCAACATAGGCAGGCGCTGCCAGAAACACCTCAGGTTCAATAGGCGTTCGGTTTTTAATTAATTTTTGGTCATTGCACATGCAGAAATCTTTTACTGTTGCAAAATTTTTCACAACCCCATAAGCCACAGTTTAAGAAGCTCTGAGCATAGAAGACTTTTTGAAGGGGTCTCAAAATAAAAAATCTACATGTAGGTAGGTCCCGAAGTCAATGAGATCTGTCTTTAGAACCCACTGTTCATACCCCATAACCAACCATTAGTGCTTATTCCCTTTCTGTACCTTCTGGAATCTGACCACTGAGATCTCAAATCTCAGTTTCCTCATGTAGAGAAGGGAAGGACAGTTCATATTTGCTCATTAAAAAAAAAATTGAGCTAGAAGGATAGATACAACTGTATAGAAACCTGTTATGTAGTATGTATTTCACTAAGGGCAGAAAACAGGTCATGCAGAAGAGAGGCTGTATTCCAGGATCTGTTGATCCCAAGAAGCAATGATACCTGATACTTGTGACAACTTATTTTGAAGTAGTTTACCTTGTGAGAGAATCTATTGACACAAGCATTTCTTTTACTCTTAACAGCTAGGAGCACTGTTCTTCAGTTCTGTTCTTCAAGTGCTAAAGATATTTCTAAAAGAAAAGCTCCCAAAATGTTTTGTGCAGTGGCAACATCACAAGAATTAGTGTTTAGGAACTCGTGTGAAGGGGACAACAGTCATTGAGATGTTTTTAAAAGGCCCTTTTTTAAAGTGTTGAGTTTGTTTTGAATGAGATGATACTGCCTTTCCTCCCTCTGTCACGTTGTTGTGAGGATCAAATGAGTTAATGTGGAAATGGTGTATCAGTATTTATTGGTTGTTACTGTTATTCCCATGATTAGTTATTACCATAGAATTACCGCAGATTAGCAGATAATAGAGGGAAAGTAGAATGAGCATCGTGTATAAAGGTCATGGAAACAGACTGAGCATTTTAAACATGTCTTTCTCTCTTTTCCAGAAGGGAAAAAGAAGCTAATCAGAGATTTTGATGAGAAGCAACAGGAAGCAAATGAAACGGTGAGATCTGGGGAACAAGGGACTTGTTTCTTTTACTAGTATTTGGCTTCTTAAGAAGCAGTGCAGAGATCTGACTCTGGCTGCGCCCCTGTGGGGCCTTAGTTTTGAATATCATCCTTACTGAAGGGTGAGGCAAATGTTGGTGATGGGTGCTCCAGAGAAGAGGTGGATAAAGCTTGGGGGCGGGCGGTCCTGAAGAATCATGTCTTGATGGTGAGAGTGGCTGCTCTAAAATGGATCGGTCCTAATCTTATTCTAAGAATTTTTTGTGCAAGTAAAATAATGGAATCAAAGGAGGCTTTTGGGTCATCCTCCCTTGATAGTCATCTCTCTCTTAAAGTGTATACTATAGATGTATTTTTGATAACTTAAAAGGGGAACTGAGGAAAGACTTCTAGGGAAGTGGTATACACACTTTGATCAGAGGTTAGTTAACTAGGACTTCAGGATTGCATTTAGCTACTTTGGTAGTAATAATATTAACCAACAGTTATCTAGTGCTTTAAAGTCTGCAAAGCACTTTACACATATTTCTTTTGATCCTCACAACAACCCATATAAGGTAGTTACTAAAGGTTATCTTCAGCTTGATTATTTTTTTCTTTCTTAAAAAATGTTTTTTCTCTCCCTTCCCTCCACCAAACAAAACCTTTAAAAAGAAAACCCCTCAACAAATATTTAGCTCATTTTATGGAAGAGGAACCTGAGGCTGAAAGGGGTAAGTGGTCACCTAGCTAGCGTTACAAGTGGGATTTGGACCCAGGTTTTCACTCCTTAAGGCTAGAGTACTCACTGAAAACAAGTGGTCGGTTGTTTTTGTGAGTTAGAGAGGTAGTTATATAGATAGAAACTAATTGTTGGGTTACAGTTGCTACCAGTGCTTTCCAGGTAAGTTTCCACTGGGAATAAGGAGGTGGCAGACTTCCTATTTCTAGGAGACCCTGGACGAAGGGATTAGATGCTTGATCATGTAGGAACTGTGACAGTGAAGAAAATGCCCGCCGCTTCTGCTTGTTGAGCTGAGTGCATAGCAGGTGCTCCATATTTGTTGATGTTGATTAATGATTTATGTTGGGTTATGACCAACCCTGCTTGGAGAGAAACTCTTGTGGCAGCTGCAGATTCTGAGAAAGGCCTGCTTTCCCTGTTTCTGTCTAAATGTGAGCTATTAATACTTCTTACTTGACAGTTGGCAGAGATGGAAGAGGAGCTGCGTTATGCCCCCCTGTCTTTTCGCAACCCCATGATGGCCAAGCTTCGAAGCTACCGCAGAGACCTGGCCAAGCTCCAGCGAGAGGTGAGGAGCACTCCACTGACAGTGCCTCCTGGGGGCCGAGGAGACAGCAGATATGGGGCATATGCTATAGAAAATGAGCACATGGTAAGTTCCTGCATCTTGAGTACATTTATAATTAGGTCTATTTTTGCTTTTGCTTTGTCTAAGATCATGATTGCTACCCCTGCCTTTTTTACCTCAACAGAAGTATAATAGATACTGCTCCAGGCCCTTAGTTTTACTCTAGTGTGTCTCTCTCTTTCAAGTATGTCTCTTGTAAACAACATTTTTGGATTCTGATTTGTAATCTTGTAATTTGTAATTTTGCTATCCACTTCCATTTTATAGGTGAGTTCTCCCCATTCACTTTCACAGTTATGATTGTGGTATATTTTTCTTCGTCCTATTTTTACCCCATTTATCCTTTTAACCCTCTCCCTCCTCAAGTCTGTTTTACTTCTGACCACTACCTCCTTTAACCTGCCTTCCCTTCTGTCAGCCCCTCCCACCTTCTCTTACCCCTTTCCCACCTACTTCCCTATAGCGTAAGATAGATTTCTATACCCAACTGAGTATGTATGTTATTCCTTTTTTGAGCCAATTCTGATGAGAGTAAGGTGCAGTCGTCGCCTGCCGCATCCACCCCCCCATCTTCTCCTCTATTGTAAAAGCACTTCATTTTGCACTTCTTTAATGTGAGATAATTTTGTCCATTCTTCCTCTCCTTTCTCCTAGTACGTCCCTCTTTCTCACTCCTTAATTTTTTTGAAATCATCCCATCGTAGTCATCTCACACCCGTGCCCACAAGTATCATCTTCCCATTTCCCCTTATGATTTTCCTTTCATATGTACCTTTTTTTTGGGGGGGGCTAGGCAGTAAGGTTAAGTGACTTGCCCAAGGGGTACACCACTAGTAAGTGTCAAGTGTCTGAGGCTGGATTTGAACTTAGGTCCTCTTGACTCCAGGGCTGGTGCTCTATCCACTGCACCACCTAGCTGTCCCTTATATTTGCCTTTTTATGCTTGAATCTTGTATTTGAAAGTCACATTTTCTATTCAGCTCTGGTCTTTTCATCAGGAATGTTTGAAAGTCCTCTGTTTCATTAAATATCCATTTTTTTTTCTTCTGAAGGATTTTACTCAGTTTTGCTGGATAGGGTCATTCTTGGTTGTAATCCTAGATCCTTTGCCTTCCAGAATATCATATACCAAGCTCTCTAGTCCTCTGATGTGGAAGCTTGTGTGATCTTGACTGTGGCTCCATAATATTGAATGGTTTCTTTCTGGCTGCTTGCAGTATTTTCTTTTCTTCAGTGAATTTTTGTATCTCTTTTTCTGTTTGGCCAGTTCTGCTTTTTAAAGAATTCTTCTCTTTGGTGAATTTTTGTGCCTCTTTTACCAAACTGTTAATTCTCTTTTCATAATTTTCTTGCATCATTCTCATTTCCTTTCTCGGTTTTCCTCTATCTTATTTGATTTTAAAAATCCTTTTTGAGTTCTTTCAAGAATTGGGCTTGTGTCTGGTTCACATTTTTTTGAGGCTTTGCTTGTAGCTAGCTATTTTGAAATTGTCTTCTACTGAGTTTATATCTTGATTTTCCTTGTCACCATAGTAGCTTTTTATAGTTATGTTCTATTTTGGTTTGGGGGTGGTTGTTTTTTTTAAAGGGATTTGCTTATTTTTCTAGCCTATTTCTTGACTTTTAACTTTATGTTAAAGTTGGACTCTGCTCCCAGGGTATAGGAAGCATTGTCCCAAGCTTCAAGTTTTTTGTACTGCTGTTTTCAGAGGTAGTTCTAAGAGTCTGTAAGTTTGTAGTGCCTCCAAGGTGGTGTGATCTAAGGAGAGATGTGGTTACTGCTCTCCTGGCCTGTGCTCTGGTTTTTATCCAGGAAGGGCCTCTACTTCCCTGTTGCTTCTTTTAACCCTGGAACTGAGACTGGGACTCCTGCTGTCTTGCAGCTACAAGCACTAATACTCCTTTTCACCTAGGAACTTTGACCCAGAACTGTGTATAGGGTCAACAGAGTCTTGCATCCAGTGCCCACAAGGGTCTCCTGTAATCTGTTTCTGATCATTTGTCCAACCCTTTGCTGCCTCTGGGCTGAGAGCTCCCAAAGCTGCTGCCTCCAATGCTGTAGCTGCCACCAAGGTCTGTTGCTGGTGTTCCTGCAGTGTGCACTGCACTCTGGGCTGTCTTCCACTCCAGTGTCATAGACCTGTCTTACCACTTCATAAGTTATCTTGGGCTGGAAATATATCTCACCTTGGTCTTTTATTGGCTCTGCCACTCCAGAGTTCGATTTGAGGCATGATTTTAAAGTTGTTTGGAGGGGAATGTTGGGAGAGTTCAGCTGAGTTGCAGTCTGTACTCTGCCGTGTTAGCTCTGCTGTGGTGCATTTATATAAGACAAGAAGTAGCCTATAAAGAGAGGTTGGCATTGGTTTCCCATGATGGGTTGTTATTCCATTGGCTAATGTAGCGATTTGACCTAGTGACCATGTATATAAATTAGCCTAAACTTCCCAGAAAACACAGGAAGCTGCCAAGTTTCTCAAGTAATATAAAATATTTGAGCTTTTTCTTGACCTTTATGGTTCAGGAGAAGGCAGCCGTCACATGGTGGAAACAACATGAGACTAAAAGTCTAGAGACCTGAATTTTGGTCCCAGCTTCTATAAGGATAGAATAAAAGGCTTTCACTAGCCTTTATTTCTTCCAGTGGCATTGTTTTATAATTTTAAGTTGTTTATGCTGAGCTAGAAAAATATGCTTTTTAAATTTGTTATATGGGATGGCTTTCTTGGAAAGGTAGACATACTGGGAGAAATTCTGTAGTTGTATAAACAAAACATGTCTAAACTTTTTATTTAAAAAGGATGTTTTTTAAAAAAATAAAATAAGCATGTTTTTTGAACTTAGGCTACCTTATGCTAGGGAGTATAAATGAGACTTAGCTTTAATGGGGATTTAGAGAATTAGAAATTAGGTCTGCTGGGACAACAGAAGCTGCCATTCAGCTTGATAGATCACAAGTTTAATTACTTAGAAGTTTATGCTGTCTTAGATGTAATACCTTTCTTGTAATTGCCAAGAGTGTAACTGCATGGATTTTCCCACCCAGAACATAATAAACGGTTCCTTTATATGCTGAAAAACAATGGGAACAATTTAAACATAAACATGCAGGGCAGATAGATTAGCACTTGAATTCCTAGTAGCTAGTCAGGTGCAAATCTCATAAGTTGATTAGCCTATTGAGCTCATTTTTTTTTAAAACAGGTTCTAGTGCAGGGGTGGGGAACCTGCAGCCATTAGACCCTCTAGATCCTCAGGTACCACCCTTTGACAAAATCCAAACTTCACAGAACAAATCCCCTCAATAAAAAGATTTATTCTGTAAAACTTGGACTCAAGTCAAAAGGCCTCACCCAAGGACCTAGAGAGCCACATGTAGCATGGTTCCCCACCCCTCTTCTAGTGAAGACTAGGTATTCTCTAAACTCTAACTCCTTTATGTCAGTGCAATCCCTAGAACTGGTCCCATGCCTCCCAGATATTCAGTCTTTCAGGAGAGTTGTCTCTTAACAGATGAATTCATTGTTTGGTGCAAATCCATCACCATAACTAATACGTGTTTTGTTTTAAAGTGTAGAATTTTTAAAAGTAGTAATTTTTAAAACACACACACACACACACACCCAACACACCAACTTATCATTGTTCTTCAGAAACAGCTAGATGGTAAAAAGTAGATTGTGATCTGGGAAGTTCAAATCCAGCAATTGCTAGCTGTGTAATCCTAGGCAAGTCACTCCATGCTGTTGGCCTTTCCTTAACTGTAAAATAGCATCTACTTCCCAGGGATGTTAGGAAAATCAAATGAAATGTTTTTAAAGTGCTTAGCACGTAGTACCACATAAAATGCCTGGTATGTAGTAGGTGCTTAAAAATGCTTGTTGCCTTCAGCTAACCATGTCATTTTCCTATAGTGTTTTGTAAATCTTAAAGCATTATAGAAACATAATTTCTAAAGATCAAAGGGGGAGAATTACTATTAGTAAACACAGAAAGCTACACCATTCCTACAGCATTGAAACCAGCCTAGCTCCCATTGGGAGGACTTCTGGATGATGGTCTTTAAAAATAAGAAAAGTCTTCACTTTTTTGATGTCTTCTTTCCCACTCACCCAAAAAAGCAAAGCAGGTAAGAGTTGAGAGCAATGTGTCTATGTACTAGCTCCTGGATTCTTTTTCCCATCTGAAAATTTCTTCCCTTGCCTCCTTTCCCAACAAATGTTATGAAGAAAACAACTAGAGTGCCTGATTCTTTTCCATTTTTTTGGTCAGAATCAGCTGCAGTCTCAAAGGGTGTTACTTCTGCAAGGCACTGAGAGTCTGAACCGAGCCACTCAGAGCATTGAACGTTCCCACCGGATTGCCACTGAAACGGATCAGATTGGTTCTGAGATAATTGAAGAACTAGGGGACCAAAGAGACCAGCTGGAACGCACAAAGAGTCGAGTAAGTTCTGTTGGGGAACAGAGTAGGGGCAAGGAAAGAGGTGAGTAAGGTCTCTTTCATAAGTCTGTGCTCTGTTATGACTTAGGAGCATACAAAAGCCATAAACTATATTAGGTCTGAGTTCAGGGGCAGAAGTGGGACCTTAAATTTTCCTTTCTTCAAGCCTATATAGAGCTAGAATTCTTAGCAAGGTGAACTTTTAAGGTAGGTGTTTTCCCTTCAATATACAGATTTCCTTTTATCTTAGTTTCTGCATTTATTGGAGGAGTATAGAGATTGGACTTTTAACTACCCCAGGTTTCATTGGCTTCGAGGCCAGCTCTGTATTCCCTATGCTACATTGATTCTTATTTATTGAAGAATGTCACAGGACTAGTATTCCTTTTACTAATTTCTAAATCTTTGCTATTGGGAGAGACCTCAAAGTCAACTTGACAGGAAAAGGTTTGAAGGTCAGGTTTTTTTTTTTTAATTTCATTGACCCAGACAATAGCCACCCTATAATTTTTAGCTTGGGCTACTTCCCATGCAGTGTCAGTAATTAGCTGTAGAAGTAGCCCCATCTTCTTTTACTATTAGCTAGAATGAGGGCTAGAATTATAAGTGACCTTGCAGACCAGACTCCTATAGGAAGAACTTGACTTTGAGCTTGCCTAATAGGTAGCTTAAGTTCAGAAGGGTTTTGGAAAATGAAAATGTTTCTTATTTTCCCCACTTCAAATTATTTGATTTGATCCCATAAGAATAAAAGGGGTAGTAATAGCAGAACTTAATAAAGCTGATGAGATCTGATCAAAGAATGATTTAGTCAGAGCTGGGAAGGGAGACTGTGGGTGGCTGGGATTTAGGGTAACTCTCTCTAACCTGGTAACAGCTTGTTTTAAAGGATGGAGGAGCCTCCTTTTTGTCAGTGCTGTTTGCTCTTTCTCTAAGATTCACAGCAAGCCCTGATCAAGAGTCTCAAAAGAAGCTACTGGAAAAAAGACTGGTTGTCTGCAGTTTGAGTTCTAGACTTACCAGGTAGATTGGTTGGATTTGAAAGGTGGGGAATGAGAAAGGAAGATCAGCCTACCAGGGCTGGGTAGGAGCAGATGGCTGAAGGTGATTCATCTCTAAGAACTGCCTCCTCATGACTTTCCTAGGCTTCCTTGAGGAATACCAGAGAGACACCAGTGTTTCCTTCACCTTGGTGACTTGACAGTGGACAACATGAGTTGGTGGGAAAAGCATTAGATTTAAAGGCAAAGGATACTGAAATACTAACTTTGTCACTTTTCTAAAAAGGTATAAAACGTCACTTAATTTTTCTGAGTCTCAGTTTCTCACCTATAAAATAAGGATGTTGGACTGGACTAAGCCCTTCTAGCCCTAAATCCTCTGCCAAATAATTGCTGAGATTTGGACAAACTTCCCAGATTACAAAAAGAGAATTTGACAAATTCAGTTCTTGCCCAAATTTGAGAGGTGTGTGTTTTTTTTTAAAAGGAATAGTTTGTAAACATTTAAAGGGAAGAGGTGGTTACTAAGAGCCAGCCATGTAGTACATATTCATTTCCCTCTCTGACAAGTTACATCAAGGATTCCAGCAGATTCTCATTACAGGAGTATTCTTGCCCCTGTTCTAAAGATATTTTGTTGCTGAGGAAAATGTAGATAATATCAAATTTTTACATATTTTATGTGAAGCTAGGAATAGAATTGGAATACAGAAATATCTTGACAGGCTAATAATTGGCTGGAACTCACAAAATGTAAAATGTTCAGTGTAAATTTGTGCATTTAGGTTAAAAAAATACAAGTATAGGATTAGTGGTAGACAGTAGAACACAATTCATGTTGTAAAAGATACTGGGCAGGCATTTAAGCACGCCACTTTATGTCAGTCAGGTTCAGTGAAGCATCAGATAAACACAGCAATACCTACCTGTTACTCTATTCTTTAGGAGGAGGGAAGTGATAGTCTAGTGCGAGGCTTCTTAAACTTTTTCCATTCATGATCCCCTCTTGTTGTGTGGCCTGAGGGTATGTGCAGCAAAAGCTGTGTTCAGAACCAGAACCAAGGCTGCAGTGAAGTTGCAGGAGGCAACACTGGCAAGCACTGCCAGAAACACCTTGGATTTGTAATTTTTGGTCATTGCACTTTCATATTTCCTTTTGAGGTTGCAGATATGGGTTTGTTGATAACGTTGTCCTCTTCAGAATTTCTGCCTTGATTTTCACTCTTCCCATAATGTGAATCTATGGTATGTTTCTTTATTCCCTGGCCTTTAAAGAGATTGAGCTCTCTTGCTGGGGAGCAGAAGGCACTGACCCAGGCTTCTTGTGTTGGGAGCCTAGGTCTTGGTCACTGGCTTTGTGTGCTGGGGCCTCTGATGTTGGCAATTGGAGGCTGTAGGGTTCTGGCAGCTTACCTAGTGTTGGGCTGGAATCAGCAAGGCTGGAACTTTTGGGCAACTATAGGTTGCCTGCTTTTCCTTTCCTTTAGTTTCCTTCAACTCCTTTCAGATGGATGTTGCAGGGTGTTTATCTGCCTGGGGCCCTTTGTAGTGCTGCTTCCCTTATTTTTACAGAGGCACTGGGAGACCCATTTGGTGTAGAATGCTGAGGCACCTGGTGGTTTTTTGAGTTGGTTTCCACCAGTTCCCTTATCCTCACTGAGGCACTCGGAAGTCCAGGTGTTGGTGTTTGCCTGTGCTTCACCACCTGGGTTTCAGGATCTCCTCCTGGTTGGCAGGAACTCCCGGGGCAACTCTAGGTTGCCTGCTTTTCCTTTTCTTTAGCTTTCTTCAGCTCCTTTCAGATGGATGTTGCAGGGTGTTTATCTGCCGGTGGCCCTTTGTAGTGCTGCTTCCCTTATTTTTGCTGAGGCATCGGGAGACCTGTTTGCTGTAGAATGCCAAGGTACCAGGATCTCCTCTTGGGGTGCTGAAGTGGGGCTTTCCACTAACTGGTTTGAGACATCTCCTGTTCTGTATGCTCCCCTTCCCCCAGGGCAAGAGGGGCATTTCCCATTAATCAAACCCTCAAGCTACTTGGGCTACTGCACTGCTGCTCCCCCTCTTTCTTCTGGTTCAGGTATTCCAGGGTTTTTCCTAGGGTGATATTTTCTGGGTTTTCAGAGGTTGATAGGAGAGAGTGAGAACGAGGACCTTTTTACTTAGCCATCTTGGCTCCCGGAAGTGGAAGGTCATCGCACTTCCAGAAAGCTTTTACTGTTGCCAAATTTTTCTCAACCCCTTATGAGGTCTTGACCCACAAACGGTGGTCTAGTTGACCTGTGCTCTGGCCAGAATGGATCTAGAATAGTGTCTAAGGGTATTTTTAGAGGAGCCATTGACAATCCCATAGTACATCCCAAGGAAGGAGGACATGAATGGTGAAGATTTGTCATAGATCAATAAAGATTGTTTAAGCTAGAGAAAAGAAATGGACCATTTCTCACTCTGTATGCTCAGCAAGCTCTCTCGGCTATCACAAACTCAAGTTTTTTTACTTAATCTACAATTGGAAGATAACATGGTTTTCTCCTTTTTTTTTCCAGCTGGTGAATACAAACGAAAACTTGAGCAGAAGCCGAAAGATCTTGCGTTCAATGTCTAGAAAGTGAGTTTTAAAACTAGAATGTTAATACTAGTTACTATTACACTTTCCTACTTCTGTCAGTATTAATAAATTCATGGTGACATTCATCTCCAGAAAACACCATGCAGTGGAAAGATCTTTGGACCTGGACTCAAACCTGATTTTGCCATTAACTTTGTTCACTTAATCACTTCACCTCAGTGTCCTCATTTGGAAAAATTAAGGTTGACTAGATTACTTCAAAGGACTCTCCCAGCTCTAAATCTCTGATCCCATAGATCCCCACAGACTGTTGACAAATTTTTGGAAGCACTTTGATGTAAATGTAGCTGACTGTCATAGGGCAGATGGAATGATTCAGTTCATTCCTAGAATTAGACTATAAGAACCATTCTTCTTTCCTTTTACAAAAGAAATCAGCAGTGTGTAGGAATATTTCCTTTTTGCCCTGAACTGTATTTAAACCATCTAGAATGATAGTCTCTAAACTTTTTGAGCCTGCATCTCTATCAGTACTTGCACACTTTTTATTTTATCAACCCCTGTGGGTCTGTTTACTTATAAAATATAATTTTGCACACTATAAAACTTACTCCAAAAACAGAAGTGTTTAAAGGATGAAGACATGTAAGTCAGTAGGAAGCCAGCCACGGGGGGGGGGGAGGGAAGAAGGGGGTGGTGTGACATATCAGACCTGCATGTTAGGGAAGAAAGAAAAAATATCCCTTTAGCAGCTGTGTGTAATGATTTTGAGACCAGGACAACCATTTGGAGGCTACTGTAATAGCTTCAGGGATAAAGACCTGAACTAGGTTGATGGCTATGTGAGTACAGCCAAGAGAACGTATGGGAGAGATGAAGTAGAAACGGGATTTAGCAATTGATTAAATATGTAGGGCAAGGAAAAGTGAAGACTTTCCCAGTGGCAGCTTTTTAGGAGCTATAAGTAGTTAAGCTATGCCCTCCAGCTCAGGAGGGAAGAAAAAAAAATAAGGATAGATGTTTGATACAGTAAACCGCATATTTGGCTATTGTTGCATCTCTCCACTCTGGCCTCTACCTTTGAGGATTGGTTTAAAAAAAAATACCTGCTCCTATTTATTAGTAGATGCCTCCACGGTAGGTGGCCCGACCTAGGGATTTATGCAGTATGGAAGCAGTTGCAAGTTGGTTCTTGTCGTTTAGTCCTCGACTTTCCTGATGAGAAAGATAAAAGTGGGCAAAATGAGATTCAGAGAGGTCTATAAGGTTCCCAGGACCAGTCAGAGCAGTCCGAAGTTAGAATGCAAAGTACTGTTGGGCTGACGAGAATAGTTTTAAGTGTTGAATAGTGAGCATCTTGTGGAATAATCAGAAACGGAGAGACCAGAGAGAACAAGGGCGAGATTTTCCACTTGTGATAGCTAAAATCAAGGGGGGGGGGGGGATGGAAGAGAACTTAAGCTGCCCTAATGATACAGCTTGGAGAAAGAAGTGTCACTACCTTGATACACAGTATGTAGCCTGTGTTTTTTTGCTAGATTATAGAATATCAGACTTTAATTTTTTCAACCCAGTCTTTAAACCAACCAGTTGAAACAATTATTATCCCCATTTTACAGACACTTAAAGAAGTTTAGCAAGTTGCCCTTGGTCACACATAGCCAATGACAGAGAGGAGAGATGGCAGATTTGACTTAGTATGATGTTCATTCCACTAAACCACAATACTTTTCCATCCTACCAGCAGGGGCTTAGAAGTCCTAATACTGTCTCTTTACTTCTTTTCCATTTGTAGAGTGGCAACCAATAAACTGCTGCTTTCCGTGATTATCCTTCTGGAGCTGGTCATCTTGGGAGGCCTAGTCTATTACAAGTTCTTTCGAAAATAATGAAAATCCCTGCCTCCTCTTTACCCTTCTTGTAGATCTCTAAATCAGAGAGCTAAGGACCAACTTCACTGCTGTGGGCTAGCAGTTTAAGCACTCAGACTGTATGTAAGAGAGAAGGCAGACAACGATTGGAAATGTAAAGTAATGTTAACAAGGCTGGGGTGCTATACCAAGGTAACAAATGCTGTGTTTATTAGTTCTTTAAATTTAGAGAGTATTCTAATATATTAACTAATGATGAACTAAATAAAACCAGTTACAGAATACAGTAACATTGGTCACCCAAAATGAGGAGGGATTTTTTTTTAAACAACTGGGAGAAAAATGTTCTCATTAGTGCAGTACTGACATCGCCAATTTTAATATCCCTTTAAGTGCCTCTATAGAACTCTGGAATGCCTATTGTGAAAGAACCCCGTGGAAAAAATACCAGCTCCCTAAATTCGAACACATTCTTCACTGTCTGATTCATCTGGTGAACTTGGAGTGGGGAGATGGTCATAGCCATCGTGCCGTCCTTCCCTCTTCTGGCCGAAGCTCGAAGCGATCACATCCACAGCCAGCCCAACTGTGGCCTTCACTTCCTCTGAAGTAGCCAAGAGAGGATTGACTTCAACTAGATCCAGGGCCGACAGCAAACCTGAGGGAGCAGAGCCACAAACTGTATGATATGAGCCTCCTACCAAAGAGGTCAGTCAATAGGACTGGGAATAAAGGCAGCCAGCCTTAAGCTGCTTATTTCAGGGGTGGAACTACATCTTAATGGTTTAGCTGCTATGTTTTACTTCCCTGTACTGGAATGTAGCTTTTGCTCTAGAAAGTAGAAGTGGAGTTGGAATGTTTGTGTTTAAGCATTTCTCTGTTTTCTTTACTGGTTGTATTTTAGCCAGATGGAGGGTGGCTGAGCAGACCAGAGGGAAAGTACTTGTGAAGTTGCTAGCCTAGTCAGATACCTAGCATGATGCTTGTTTCTAAAGATTACCAAGCTAACTCTCTCATTTTAAAAGGCCTATAGCCCAAGTCTTTTTGACTCCTATTTCATCTTAAACCAAATGTGCTGCCATTAATGTTACCATGAGAAAAGAAATCTAAAAGTTATTTGATGAAACAGGATTATGAAACAAATAAGATCAGCTAGCTAAGGATGATAACAGCCATCTATCACACTGTTTGGTGGGCTCAGAGTTTTCTGTTTAGTGGTTTCTATAAGAACATAGATTTCCAGCCTTACAGTGACAAGGAAACCCACAGGTGAGAAGTTTCTGCATATGCCTGCCTACAAGAGAGTGCTCTCTTTTATGCCCCAGTTAGCCTATTTGTGCCTTCTACATCTTCCTCTCCAGTCCCCTGAAATGAGAGGCTATTGGCCACTCGCTCTTAATTTCTCAATTTAAAAAAGAAGATAATAAAAACTCTCAGTCCTTAATATGACCTTTGCTCTTCTAGATGCTTAAGATCAAACCTGTTTTCATTACTCTAATATCACTCAAGGTAGTTTCTGGTTTTTTTGCCATACCCCAAAATCTTTCATTTTTCCCAGCCCTTTTCCCCAAGGTTTTTACCTTCTATACTTTTTGCATTGAGGAGAACAAGAATCAATGCAGTGAGACAACCAGTATCCACATTTTTCCTTCTGCTCTGAGGAAGCTCAACTTCCATTTTTTCTTTACAATTATGATTGAGAGGAAAAATAGTCAAAGCTAGAAATCGTGGGGGGTGGGGGTGGAACTTGACAAGTTTGTTTCTCTAAAGATTTAGGAAGACTTCAATTAGTTCTCTAACTTTTCTTCCTTGCCTGATCACTGAAAAAAGTCTAGAACTAGAGAAATGGTTCAACTATTACCTTGTCACTCCTGGGGGCAAAGTTACCCTGCTTCCTCCCTGGTCACAGTGTTCCATTATACATGCTGGACTTCTATAGATTATCTGATTAGACCAAGAAATCCGCCCAGGACTCAAAATGTTGTCAACACAGGTGGTAGGGGTCAACAAAACTTTAGAGGAATGTTTAGTTTAGAGTAAATTTAGAGTAAATGGGTTTGCATTAGGATTCTTGCTTCCATGGAACAAGACACAGTTTTAATGATGGAACTTCTAATTCTTCCAGCTGGCTAGGCATCCATTTTTAGTTTATATGTCTAAGAAATATCTGGGGAAGAACGCTTTTTTTTCCCCCCTTTCTCGAGGGAGGGAAGATAGGGGGCCTATCAGAGCAATCGTGCTGTAGGGGCTCAGGTTACTGTTAAATTTCTACGTTAAGTCCCCAAGTCTTTAAAGCCATTTTACAAAGTTGGGCAGGACGATGCTGATGCAACATCTATAAATGTAAGTAAGCCCCTTTTGATATAATACAGTGTATCTTGTTGTTTGTTTGTTTGTTTTAGGCAGTTGGGGTTAAATGACTTGCCCAGAGTCACACAGCTAGTAAGTGTCAACTGTTTGGTCTGAGGTCGAATTTGAACTCAGGTCCTCCTGACTTCAGGGCCGGTGCTCTATCCACTGCGCCACCTAGCTGCCCCTAATACGATGTATCTTAAAAGTCCAAATCAAAGTCTTTAACATGGAACAATGGAGCAAATATCCTGCAAGTAAGAGTTCAAACAAATTTTTCTGCACTTAGTTGCTACATACCGGTATTATGTATCTCCTCTGCAATATACATGCCTTCCCGATAAGTCAGTCCACCCACAACAGGAGTCCCTGTTGCTGGAGCCAGTGATGGGTCGAAAGCATCAATATCAAAGCTTAGATGAATTGGTCTTTGTTTTCTAGGCGGAAATGGGAAACATTTATCATTTAGTCATACTTTGATCTGCATTTGTCAGGTGGTTCTGTAGTTTCCTGTTGCATCCAGGAATTTGGTCTCCTGAACCTACAGATTTGAAATGATTCCTTTTCCTGGAAGTTATTGTAGGTATCTATATTTAGACTTTAAGGATGTAAACTGCCTTAAGACAATCTTGACTTAGTCTGTATGCCTGGAACAGAAAAGATGTGCTATCTTACGGAAGAACCTAATGCTGTTGAAACTGTCCACAAAAAGAATTCTGTACTTCATTGGATATGTGACCCTGATAGGCTATTCAGCCCACTGCTGTAAATTAAATTAGGTTACTGTGGATTAAGTTTCTGTTGCTCTCTACCCAGGCACAATAGCATGATTTGACTCCGACCTTAACTTACCCACCATTATCTTAGTACCCACTCCTTTTCAGGTTCAAGCACCAGTTGATCCCAGCTGCCTAATGGCTGAAATTGAAATGTGAGGATGATGTATATGAATTGCTCAAATTTCCACGATACTAGATGGCAACCCACTTAATAGTGAAGATCTAGTATTAGGGGAAAAGGCTGCTTTGGAAATCTTGAATCGGATTCCAGGTCCCTTTCTAGAATCCTTCCTCAGCTTCAAAAAACTGTCAGTGAAACTGCTTTCAGGGAAACTTATGGTGATTCTGGCAAAGCAAGAATTAGAATGCCTATCTATTGCATTTTTTTAAAAAAAATAGCTACCAAGCTGTAAAGCTGTTACATGAATAAAAATTCTGTATTGGGCAGACATAAAACTCTCGTCTTACAGGTCTTACTTTCTCTTATACTTGAAGCAGCCTCTAATACTAGATAGAAATGAACTGATATCCCAACTAACAGATTGAAGATTGGACTACAATGTACAACTCCCTGAGCACCATTACCCCCTGGGGCATAAGTATCCAAACATTTCTCCATTACAGTTGCTTACTTGCTAATCAGCTGGTCAAATGTCTGTTCCATGACCTTCTGGATTCCAAGGTGGTCAATGTCCCTCATTGAAAAGTACAAGATGTCGTATTTTTTAAGAATAAAGCTGGTGAGGCAAAGAAAAGGAATTCTGAGTTAATGATTTGGTTTTAACTCATGCATATTCAGGGTTCCAAAGTAGCTATTCATTCCCAATATCGTTCACTTAAAGATGACAAAATACACCACAGCAGCTTCCCAAATGGAAGACAATCATTAATGGAAGTTGACCGACCTTGTAAAGAGACAGCCATTTATTTGCAAGTTTTGAGGGGAATCCATATCAAGTTGAATTCCTTTAATTTCTGTCACATTTGTCATTTTGTGTGTCCTTGTTTTCAGGGAGGGAAAGCTAGTTAGCCAAGTGATTCAGCATGACGGATTAGACGGAACACTAGGATTTAGAACCTAGAAGAACTTGAATGAGTCCGTTCTGGACAGTGGCTGTGTTACCAGGGCGCTTGGGTTCTCCAGCTAAAAATGAGACTGATTTTTAGACTGCTCCCCTCATAGGGTTGTTGTGAAGAAAAGTGTTTATAATATAAAAACATTTAAGAGATAAATGTGAATGAAAATTTGTAGTAATAGTAGACCACTCAAAAATCCACCAGTCAGGAAGGATTTTTGGTTGGCCTAGAAAGCCTACAAGTGTAGACTGAGGTGAATGAGTTTGATCCAGAACCCTCAGGAAGGGGAGTTGAATATGTTCTTGAAGGGGAGAGACCATGAGGTTCTGACCCAGAAGCAACTGGGATGGGTCAGGCCAGCTTCCGTTAAAAACTGAGATGGGAAGCTCAGGTGCTACTTCGTCTAGTATGGGATAGTTAAGAAAAAAAGAAAGAAAAAGAAAATACCCTTCTAATTACCCCTCTCTGGTATCACATTATTTCCACTTTTGCATATGCTCTTTTCCTTTACAAAAAGCTTTAGAAAACACACGTGGTCAAGAGCAGAAGTGTCAGGCTCTTAGAGCACCTGATGAAAATCAGGAGATGCTGAACCAACTAAATTAGAATACAGCATGACATAAGTCATGTTAACTTGGGCTTTTTGAGTTCCGTGTGTGACTTGTGGAGGTCAAACACGGGAAGCAGGGAGTGGCCTCTGAGAAGGCCCCAAGAATGCCAGCTTGTCGGCAGCAGTGAGGACATTAGGGTTTGGGTGAGCTCTCTGAACTGAAAGAACAAAGTTCGAAACAAGCAAGGTCCAGAAGGCCCGGAGCATCGAGAGCAGAAGGCCCAGCCCCGCTGGATCCTTTCCAAGAGGAGACGCTGTCAGGGGGCCAGATAAGGCCTGGTGGTCATGACAGTCATTCACAAAGCTTACTGTTCAGCAGGATCCACGTCTCTTAGGCCAATGTATACGATATCTGGGGACGAGAGACAGGGCTTGATCCAGGAGAAGCCTGGGAGTGATGGCACCTGAGTGAAACAGGGAAGGAAAGAAAGCTCAAGCTTTGTGTGCTCTGAGAACCCTCCTAATGCTGAGCATCCCTTTTTCCTCCATGATGCTTCCATTTCAGAACAGATGTCAGTCAATTAGTAGTATAGAACGGGGCTGACAGCTTCAAATAATTTCCAGGACCCTGTCATTTGCTTAATGCTATAGCGCTGCCTTTACTCACAGGAGAAAAAGCTGCATTGGAGAGGGGGGAGAGGGGTGGGGAGGAGAGAAGAGTCTAGTGCAGTAGCTAAGAATTCTTCACTAGGATAGGCTGTTAACAAAATTCTGGTGGCAGCCTGCAAACCTTTAGTCACTCCCACTGAAAGTCAGGAAATTTCCCAATCTTGAAGAGAATCATGAAGATGGAAATTTACTTTGAGCAGGACTGTAAGAAGTAGCTTTGTTGGCCTAAAACATTCGGATTCGAATCATACCTGTAGTTTTAAAACAAACAGGAAAATAATTTCATTTCCACTGCATTCACAGGACAGCTTTTGCTATCTACTTTTTACAAACTCTGTTGTTCAATGAAATGTGTGAAAAACAGATTTGGACACGCTGACCTGGAAAATACTTCAGAGGGCAAGCCACTTGTTGTAAATAGTTGCTGAAAAACAGCAGTATGGTTTCCCAAAAGGGAATAAGATATTCCTTTGATTGGAGGGTAGCCTCAGTTTTTCATTAACTAATCTAAATAGCATCAGTACTGCTGATCCAAGTCCTTCTCTCCTGCTTTGCATGTTACAGAACTGTTTACAGATCAGATCCTAGTGAAGCATAACTGGTGCTGTTTCCAGCTGTGGGTGGCAAAAGCTCAAGCCTTCCATAATAAGCAGCCCTTGTATTTTACTGTTCTGCCATTTGTCCTAGTTTGGCTTCTTTCTAAGAGAAAGGATGAGCTAGAGTTTTAACACTACTTTTAATAAACACCTGAGCTGTTCAAGAGGGGTGGCAAGAAAGGCACTTCCTGCACCAAAAGAGGGTAAAGTAAGAAGTGGTAATGGAGAGGGGGCCAGGGGTGATGGTGATGAGGTTTATCCTTTACACACATCAATATTACAGGACAGTTCAGAAGGCAGTGCACACCCAACACTACAATGAGTGTAACTTTTGCTTTCTATATTGCTAGAAGGAAGGCTAGGTTCCCACTTCCCTGTTCACAAAGCTGCATCCTTAAGGGAAATGGTTCTTCAGTAAGAAACAGAAAGTCTTGTGGCAATTGTGGGAGCAACATTAGTTTCTTCCCTACTCAGGATGGGAAACATCTCCAACACATCACTCATCCCAACTTGCACAATTGCCTCCCAAAGCCTGGATAATTAGTGCTGTGTTTACCTATTTGAGTCAACATTCAACATTCTGGTAACCAGTTCAATCAACTGACCTTGTCCTGCAGTTCTCTGAGAAGGAAGGAGACTGGCTGTCCATGCAGACTCCCAGACGAAGTGGTAAGGGGTGTGTTGATATCAGCATGAGCATCAACCCAGATAACACATAAATCTGGGCAGTGCTGGACATGGCCACTAATGGAACCAATTGCCAAACTGCAAAGAAGAAATGTAGTAAACATCATGATAAAGTGCCACTAATTCTCACATTCTGTACTTCAGACAAAAATTAAAAACCGAGGTTGGGTTTGGATAATGCAGGTCAAGTGATGAAAAGGAGTATTGCAGTGTCTGGCACAGGGAATAGTTATGAACCAAAACCCCGGAACAGGTCAAGAGTGTTTCACACGGGCTTGGTCTGGTGCAGAGTGAAGTGGATCCCAGAAAACAGTACATACAATGACTACAACAACGTAAATGGAAAGACCACAAGACGATCAGAAGTGAATGTTGCAGATTTATAAAGGAACAAGCTGGGCTACAAAGAAGAGAGATGAGAAGCCACCCCACCCCACTTCCTTTGCAGAGGTAGGAGGTCCACAGTTGCAGTATATACTACACAAATTTTCAGACTTTTTCTGTGTGTTGATTGGTTTTGCTAACTTTTTTCCCCCTTTAAAGAATATTTCTTGTCATATGAGATGATTCTGTCTAGGAGAGGGAAGGATAATGGAGAAAGTCTGGTAATAAAAAAAAATCAATAAAATTTTATTTTTTTATAAGTGATATAGGTGTTCACTCATTTCATAACTAAATAGAATCCATGTGTGTTCGTGTCTATGTATGTGTATATACAAACTCCAGGGAGTCATGTAACACTTTGCCGGGAGCCTTAAGCAGTAGGATCAAAGTATCAAACATTTGCTAATTTAGGAAATTCAAAAATTTGAAGCCTATAGCTTCTTAAATGAGATAAAAATAAACACCCCAGACCTTCCTAGAAGTTCAAAAGGAGCCAAAGAAAAGCTTTGCTTATTTTTCTTTTGTTACAAAGAGAAATATTGGGAAATTACTTTTTTTTTAAAAAGGCATCAAAATGAAATTTCTTTAAAAAAAAAAGAGAAACCAAGTATGACAAAAATTGGCACTCATTATTACTAAGGCCATTGACCTTTTTTTAGAACTAATTAAAAAAACCTTATTTTGTCACATTTTACATTGGATTTACATGTTATCCAGATACCAAAAATATTCCCCCCATTCCTGTTCCTTTCAGTGTTTGACGCCTGGATGTAATGAAAACCCTGGCAAAGTGACCTATCCACCAAACGGGAAAAAAAAAGTTGGGTCCAGTCTGTAGGATCCGAATCAGTGAGAGTCATCATTGTTAAGCCCAGTGATGAATAAACTGTATGAGCTCATAGAAGTGCAGGTAAAGCTCTTTGAGGGTAGAGACTGTCATCTTTTTATCTCAGCCTTTCCCTTCTCCCTAGCTTATCACATTATCTTGTCCAGAGCAGGCTCTGAATACACATTGGTTGAATTTAAAGTATTTTATAGCAGAATGCCAGATCTCTCATTTATAATAAACAATATAAAAATATACATAATGTAAAGCTAAATGTCAGCCACGCTTGTGAACTGGAATAAACAGTCTTGGTTTGGGAGGATCTGTTGATGAAGTACGTCCCTTAGTACCCAGGTGTGTGAAGTGTAAACATTTGACAGACGGGGGAGTTGGACTGGTTGGCTAAGATATTTTGTGCACTATAAAAAGTGATGTAAAGAATCAAGAGAACGTAATGAGTGAAGGGATAATACAAAGCTAGCATAACCAGACCAATTTGCAGAAGAACTCCAGTAATGTGAAGGAAAATGGCCTTGAGAGAAGACCAATGGTGAAATATTCCTCCAACCTCAGGAGAGGAGTGCTTGTTTTCAGACATGACAAATGTGTCAAATGTGTCAAACTTCTTTTCTGGATGATATTTCTTACCAGGCAAAAGTCTATTTTCTAGAGTGTATGTGGAAATCCGTGGTAATTGACACTGATAGAAACAGAGCCTTGTAGAAAGTTTTTTGGTAAAAGGATGGTTCAGTGGATGGGGGCAGGGAATGTTAACGGGAAGTGGGGGTGGTAGTGTCAAAGCAAAAGCTAACAAAATTTAAGTTGGGGGGGGGGAGCAAGCCCCTCTTCCTTACCCCTCTCTCCATCAAATCTTTTTTTTTCCTGTTGCTAACAAAAGTTAGCAATTTGAGATTCACCTTATCTTTTTTTTTATTTTTTAATTAATTTATTTTTAGTTTTCAGCATTCACTTCCACAAGATTTTGAGTTCCAAATTCTCCCCATCTCACCCCTCCCCCCACCCCTTCCCCTAATCTGCCTCCCTTTCTGTCACCCCCCCTTTTCTCTTATCCTCTTCCCCTTCCATTTTCCTGTAGGGCAGGATAAATTTCTATACCCCATTGCCTGCATTGACTGGAAAAGATTGGGAGAACTGCTCACTGGACACAGCGCTGAGCCGTAAGGCAGTATTCTTGACTTCTAGTTGCTTCCCCACTGCCTCGATGTCCTATCTGTGTTTGGATTTTCCAGTTAGAAATTCAACAAATTCCATTAACTTCAAGCACTTTAAGCATTCACCATACTCCAGCCTACTGGCCCCTCTTTCTCTTTTGAGAAGCCTACATAGGTTCTTTCAGGCTCCAATCCAGACATTTCTTCCTTTTCTAAATCCTTACTTAGGAATAAATACATCCTACAAGATTCCTTGAACCAAATCCCACATCTTTCATCCTTCATTGCCAAGCACTGTCCTTAGCAAGTGGGTGCACAGTAAATAGTGGCTAATTGATGAATAAGAATACTGACAATCAGCCTCCTCAAAGGCCTGAACTGTATGTAGATAGACCTTCAAAACTGTTAGCAGAAAACACCAATTATGTATGACTGACAGTTGCACTTAACTCCTCCCCAGTGTAAAAGCACACTCAGTAAGGCATCAGTTATTTGTTATCAAACATTATTACTACAGTGTTCTAAGACCTAGTCAATTTTCCTTAATAGAACATTTGATCAGTTCTCAAGTTTCCTAATCCCTAGTCTAAAATGGGGAGAAGATCCCTAGGCCTTGTAGCCCTAAGATTCTATGACTTCATTTATAAAGTACTTTTATCTTTATACACTTAAAGCATTAAAGATTATGAAGTAAAGCATATAAATTGTAAAGACACATTATCTCATTTAATCTCCACAACAACCCAGTGAGGCAGTTTATTCCTCATAAGAAAACTGACAAGTAATTTGCCCAAAGTCACATGTATGGATATGCAGGTTAAGCTAGGGGACTAAGGTGAGACCCCTACACCCCACTCACCTGTGGTCTCCTCCCATAGTAAGGCAGTGGTGACCAGAAGAGACAGCCCTGCTAACTGCCTCTGCCAGCTCCTGGTTGGCGAGGCCCACTGAGCGAGGGTTCACAATCAGATTGTTGTAGAGCTCATCATTGGTCACAGGGGTGAAATGCAGATCTCCCATGTCATTTACCCGGCAACCTGAAGCCAAACAGAGGGAAGAAAGAAACAAGGTTAATTGTGCATTCTCTACTGTCATTCCTCAAAGTTAGGGTCAGGAACAAAAAAAACTGCTATTCCTGTATTATATTGCACAGAACTACAAAGGAACTGAAAGACCTGGCTTTACCATGAACTAATTAAATGGCCTGAGGCTCACTTTCCTCATCTGTGAAATGAGAAAGTTGTACTAGATCTTTGAGGTCCCTCCTAGATCCAAGTCCTGTGATATCTCAGTCTTCTGGGTAGGGACCTGGCAGCTAAATCGAGTTTCTAAATAGGAGAATGCTGCTCTAGACGGTATTTTCAGATTTAATCTGGCAAAGTTGACAGTGTACTTTATGAAACTTTATCTTTTACAGAAAAGATATTTTATGTTCTATGCATCTCTTTTTCGAGGAAATAAAAGGACATCAAATCATTTCAAATCCTTAGGAGTGATAATGAAAGGATCAAATGTTGCTGAGATAATGGGAGTATTCGTGTTTTATACACCCTCCTTTTAACCAAGAAAGCTGTTCCTTTATCTTTCAAAGTATTTCAAAGGTCACCTTACATCTCACCTGCAAATTTGGACATGATAGACTGACTTCCACAACGGCAAACTACCACTTTCCCTTCCTTTAAAGGGCCACTTGTACATGTTAACCACACAAGCTCCCTTCTACTTCATAGTACAGTCTTAGGTGCAAAACCAACAAGCTTTTCAGTCTGAAAACTTGCAGCATAGTATTTGCAAAATAATGAATATGGATTTCTCTATAGAGAGAAGGCAAATTCTTGACACATATTAGCAACTGACTGCAGTAGCATTTTTTGAATTTTAAGTATGTAAAACACATTTTCTAAAGTTGCTCCTTTTCCTCCCAAAAACAGCCTGAATCTCCCAGTCATGATTAAGATCCTATAACCTATGTACATTCAAAGAAGAAATGGCTCCTCATATAAAGGTTGGGGATATGACCCTATTAGCTGTTAGGGCTGAAGATTTTGTCCAGTTTATTTATTAAGCTCCTACTGTGAGCTGCATAGCAGGGCAACTGAAATACTGTCCCCATCTTTGTGGCTTTAGTCTAGTAGGAGAGTAAGACAAATGTATAATTATAAGACACAATGATGCATTAAGTAAGTGCATTAGCAAGCTAAAAACAAGTTATATTAGTGAATTTTAAGGAAAAAAGGATTCTGCCTAGAGGAGGCAGCATCTAAACTGGGCTTAAAAGGATGGGTGCAAATTAAACAAAGGAAACAAAGAAGGAAGAAAGAACAGAGTTGGAGTAAAGGAAGAGAAGAGGGGGTGCAGCCAAGATGGCGGAGTGAAAGCAGTGACTTGCTTGAGCTCTCCCCCAAACCCCTCCCAAATACCTATAAAAAATGGCTCTAAACAAATTCTAAAGCAGCAGAACCCACAAAAAGACAGAGTGAAATAAATCTCCAGCCCAAGACAGCCTGGATGGTTGATTGGAAAGGTTTACTGTGCCAGGCTGGGAGAGGAGTGCAGTTTGGCATGGAAATGCAGGCTTCAGTGAACCTGAACAGGCCTCAGAGGACTGAATCACGGGCAGCTGTGGTGGTTTCCAGACTTCTCAACCCCCAAAAAATGCCACAGAAAACTTAGAAGGTCAGTGGGAAAAGCCTGTGTGTGCTGTGAGAGAGGAGCGCAGTCCCAGCCCCCAGTCCCCAAGTACACCCTTGGGGTGGCAGCTGCTTCCAGCCCACAGACTGAGGGAGAATTGAGTGGCTGATCAGAAGGGGACTGCAGGGATCTCTCTGCTGGTGCAGGATTCTCTCGCTTTGCCTGTGCTTGGACCTGGGTCACAGTTCTGAGTGGTGGTCCTGGGGCTAGGAGGAGTGCCGGTGTGGTGGAGCTTGCAGTGGCCTTGGGGACAAAATCCTCCTCACAGTTCCAAGACAGAAAAGAGTGCTTGTGGTCACTCACAGACCACAGCACGAGCCAGGAAAGGAGGAAACAACTCACCCTTGATCATAGCACCTTAGAAGAACTGAAAATTTACAGGTCTCTAGAATTATCTCTGAAAACAGCTGCACAAAACCCCTGAAGCTTGGGACAGTACATTTTCCACACTGGAAGCAGACCCCTACTTTAACAAAGTTTTGTAACTCAAATAATTGGCTGGGATCATGAGCAGGCAGTGCAAAAAGAGTCAGACCATAGAATCTTACTTTGGTGACAAAGAAGATCAAAATATACAACCAGAAGAAGACAACAAAGTCAAAGCTCCTACATCCAAAGCCTCCAAGAAAAATATGAATTGGTCCCAGGCCATGGAAGAGCTCAAAAAGGATTTTGAGAAGCAAGTAAGAGAAGTAGAGGAAAAACTCAGTGATGCAAGAAAATCATGAAAAACAAGTCAATAGCTTGCTGAAGGAGACCCCCCCAAAAAATTTAAGAAAATAACACCTTAGAAAATAACCTAACCCAAATGGCAAAAGAGATCCCAAAAGCCAATGAGGAGAAGAATGCCCTAAAAAGCAAAACTGGCCAAATTGAAAAGGAAGTCCAAAAGCTTACTGAAGAAAATACTTCCTTAAAAATTAGAATAGAGCAATTGGAAGATAGTGACTTTATGAGAAAACAAGACACTGTAAAACAAATTCAAAAGAATGAAAAATAGATAGCAATGTGAAATATCTCATTGGAAAAACAACTCACCTGGAAAACAGATCCAAGAGAGAGAATTTTAAAATTATTGGACTATCTGAAAGCCATGATCAAAAAAAACGAGCCTAGACATCATCTTTCAAAAAATTATCATGGAAAACTGCCCTAAGATTTTAGAACCAGAAGGCAAAATAGAAATGGAAAAAATCCACTGATCACCTCCTGAAAGAGATCCCCAAAGGAAAACTCCTAGGAATATTATAACCAAATTCCAGAGTTCCCAGGTCAAGGAGAAAATATTACAAGCAGCCAGAAAGAAACAATTCAAGTATTGTGGAAACAATCAGGATAACACAAGATTTAGCAGCTTCTACATTAAGGGACCAGAGGGCAAAGGAGATAGGATTACAACCAAGAATCACCTACCCAGCAAAACTGAGTATAATCCTTTGGGGGGAAAAATGGTCATTCAGTGAAATAGGGGATTTTTAAGCATTCTTGATGAAAAGACCAGAGCTGAATAGACAATTTGACTTTCAAATACAAGACTCAAGTGAAACGTGAGGAGGTAAACAGGAAAGAGAAATCAAAAGAGACTTATTAAGGTCAAACTGTTTACATTCCTACATGGAAAGACGATATTTGTAACTCAGTACTAGGGTAGTTGGAGGGTAAAAATTATATTATGTATATATATAGACAGAGGGCACAGGGTGAGTTGAAGATGAAGGGGTGATATCTGGAGAATAAAATTAAGGGGTGAGAGGATTATACTGGGAGAAGGAGAAAGGGAGAGGTAGAATGGGGTAAATTATCTCACAAAACAGACAAGAAAAGGCTTTTATGGTGGAGGGGAAATGGGAAGATGAGGGAATAAGTGAATCTTATTCTCATCGGATTTGGCTTAAGGAGGGAATAACATACACACTCAATTGGGTATGGAAATCTATCTTACCCTACAGGAAAATGGGGGGGGGGGGAAGGGGTAATCAGGAGCAAACACTTCTGAGGAGGGACAGAGTCAAAAGAGAAAATAGAATAAATGGGGGGGCAGGATAGGATGAAGGGAAATAGACTTGTTTTTTCACAACATGACTACCATGGAAATGTTTTGCATGACTACACATGTATAAGAGGGGGTGGAGCCAAGATGGCAGAGCAAAAGCAGCTACTTGCTTGAGCTCTCCCCCAAACCCCTCCCAAATACCTATAAAAAATGGCTCTAAACAAATTCTTGATGAAAAGAGTTGCTTTCGTTTTCAATGAGGGTGAGTGAGGAGGGAGGAAAAGAAAAGTTGGAACCCAAAGTTTTAAAAACACATTAAAAAAAATGTTTCCACATGCAACTGGGAAATAAGAAATACAGGAAATGGGGTATAAAAATCTATCCCACCCTACAGGAAAATAGAAGTTCGGGGAAGGGGATAAGAGAATAGGAGAGTGAGACAGAAGGGAGAGCAGATTAGGGAAGCTGTATACAGAATGCATGCCACCTTGGGGTGGGGGGAGGGATGGGATGGGGAGAAAATTTGGAACTCAAAATCTTGTGGAAGTGAATACTGAAAACTAAAAATAGTGTAAGCCATATCTCAAAAAAAAGAACAGGAAAAGAAAGTTATAAAGATCAAACAGGAATCAAATAAAGAGTTATGAGCATACACAAAAAAAAAAAGGAAGAGAAGAGACTTGTCCAATTTGGTTGAGGTGTAGAGGATATGGGGAAGAGTAATAGGTAGGGTGGGGAAGGCAGGCAGTAAAGGTGCTGAATGCAAGAATAAGGAGCTTGGATTTTTAATCAAGGAAGCAAAGGAAGCAACTGAACACTTTGTTTTGTTTTTTCAGTTGAGGCCTGATATAACCACATGGCACAAAGGAAATTATTCTGGCAGTAGTATGAAAAGGATAGAGAAGAGAATGAAGGTGTTAGGACCTGTTGGGAGATTACTGCAATAGTGCAGGTAGGTGGTAATAAACACTGAAATATAGAAGTAGGAATAAAGAGAAAGAGATTAACGTAATAGCTGTTCTACACACAGAATTGGTAGGACTTAGTAACTAATCAGACTTGTTGTTTAGTTGTTTTCTAATTCTTCATGACACCATTTAGGGTTTGTTTTGGGCAAAGATGAGGAAACTGAAGCAGAGTTAAGTGACTTGCTCAAGGTCACACAGCTAGCACTGGAGGCCAGATCTGAACTCTGGTATTTCTGACTCCAAGCCTAGTGCTCTGTCTGCTTCACCACCTAGCAGACCTGATTGGAGAAGAGAGGTGAAAGACCATCACATGGAATACTATTGTTCCATAAGAAATGATGAGCGGGTGGACTTCACAGAAACCTGGACTTACATGAACTGATGCTCTGAGTGAAGTGAGCAGAACCAGGAGAACACTGTACACAGTAATAGCAACACTGTGTGTTGACCAATTATTAATGTTTATACTTAGTTCTTCTCAGCAATGCGAATCTAAGACAATTCTTTTTAGAATTCATGATGGAAAATGCTATCCACATCCAGAGAAAGAACAATGCAGTCAAACAAAGAACAAATGGAGATCAAAGCATACTATTCTTTCCTCTTTTTCCCCCCCCTTTTCTCATGGTTTTTCCCTTTTGTTCTGATTCTTTTTTCACAACATGACTAATGTGGAAATGTTGAGGTTTTGAGGTTTAGGCGTGCTGGGACCCCAAAATATTGACAGCAAGAAGAGACACAGGTCCTGCCGGAATGAATTTAACCCAAGCCGCCTTTCAGCCAGAGACATCCTTATTGGCCAGATTCTCAAAGAATCTAAGCATTTGTATCACTATGTAAATGGGCCAGATTTTAAAGAATCTGAGCCTTGGCTATATTATAAGAATCTGAGCACCTTAATGGAGACAAGATGGACCTTATATATAGAAAGACTATGGGAGGGATCTAGGAGTGCCAAGTAGTTTGGGGTGACTTGGAGGGGAGAATGGGGTCTAGATAGGATCAAGGGTGGGAAGTGGGGGGTGGGTATGGGGAGGTAACAGACAATAGAGGGCTGCGTTAGGTTAAGGGAGAAATTGGTAACAGAGAATTGGTGCTGGGTACAGGTGATAAGGAAAGGCCAGTTGATAGGATTATAATCCTCAGGGGAACACTAGAGTCTTCCTTGATTAAGTAGGAGTTCGAGGAGAGTTAGGAGACAAATGGGACCCAAATTCTTTTTGGGGTAAGGGGCAAAGGTCTTGGTTTGGGCCCATGTCTGTCAGAAATATGGTTAATATGATTGTATATCTATAGCCTATAGCAGATTGCATGCTGTTTTAGAGAGGGGGAAAAATTTAGGACTCAAAATCTTATAAAATTGAATGTTGAAAACTAAAAATAAAGAAAGATTAAAAAAAAAAAGATGATTACAGCCAAACTGCATAATTCCAAAATCCTAAACATGGGAGACTGGGTGGATGGTGTTTCAGTAGTGAAGTCAGAAGGAGAACCAGGTTTAAAGAGAAAGATAAACTCACAATTTTGGACTGATTGAAGTCCTTGAGGGAAGTCATTCTATCCATTATATACTGTTAGTAGTTAAAGATGTAGGCCTGGAGCTCAGAAGAGAAGTCAGGAGTAAAGATAAAGATTTCAGAGTGGTCTGCATAGAGGTGGCATTTAATTTCATAGGAGTGATTGAGATTGTTGGAGAAAACTGAGGCTGTTGAAAGTAAAATGTGTTTGAAATAGGCGTGTAAGGGAAGATAGATTCAAGATAAATTCTAGACATTAGGCCTGAAGCAGCCAGAGGAAGAGTTGCTTTCCACTGTGGTGATGGGCTGGCCACGGAATCTAGGTTTTCAATGAGTGTGGCAGCTTTAGGATACACAGAAGTTATCCAGGCCAAAGGGCAAGCCCAGCTACTGAACTTAAGAGGACTGCTGTTTCCCTCTCTGCTTGTTCTATCTCCAGTTACAGTGATCAACAAGATTCCTGGCAGCCTTATGACTTCTAACACCCATCTCTGATCTTTTAGACCAACTAGGAGTTACTTTTGACCTTGATGAAAAATAGCAGGGGACAAAAATACTTCAGAGGGAAAGGAATCAATGTTCCCATTCACCCTGGTAATTCTCTAATTTTCAGAATCAATAAAAATCCAGACAAGAACCAATGATGAGCTTAAACTATATTAAATAATTAAGTCTGAAATATCCTTTATTTAAGGAATCAATGAGAATAAAGTATCAAAAGCATTTTTTTCCCCTAAATGGTTGCGCTACTGATTTACTTTAAGGTAATACTATTGCTTTCAAATTTTTAGTCACTACCAAGTATCTCAGTAAATTAAGAAAAGCATATTTTTCAGAGTAGCAAAAAAGGAATTGAGAAAAGGATTGAGAGCTATTTAGTAGTCAACTTGCAGAGAAAAATATTTGGAGAAAGTGGGCCCAGTTTGGAGGCGGGACAGGACCTTCTGACAGTCTGTGGCATTAGCTTGTAGCTTGACAACAATGATAAGCCCAGTGAGTCTTGGAGAAAACAAAACAAAACAAAACAAACAAACAAACAAAACTAAGGTATAGAAGAAAAGTGAACCAGGGCACAGGGCTCCCAATTCCCTCTTTCCACTTTGTCTATCCTAAGATACTAGGTTTTGGTTACCTTGGTAAAAGAAGGGCAGAATGCATACTTGCCTGTTTCCTTTTCTGGCTCCCCAAATAAAATAAGCATACCAGGCTGAGGTTCCTCCAGGAATCATACACCATTATCTAATGGGTCCCCTCAGGACTTCTAATCCAAATTCACTCCTATTCACCAACTCCTACATATTACCTAAGCATCTTTCCTCAAAAAAGAGGGGAAGTGGCCTAATAAACATGCTTATTTCCTTAGATTAATAGGTAAGGTTGATCATTCATTCCAGGTGTTTCTTGGGATTACATATTCCAATGAGGCTCTCTAAAATTATCCCTTTTTACCCCTCTTTTAAGACCGAACAGATCACCAGCAGAATTCCTATTCCTAATTTTTAAGAAACACAAACAAGGATCCCAGTTCAATCAATCAACGTTTATCAAGTACCTACTACTGAGTCAGACTTTGTGCGAAGGGGAAGCAAAAAGAGGCAAAAGGCAGTCCCTGCCTTCCAGGAGTTTCCAATCTATTATGGGAGACTACATGCAAATATATACCAAACAGGCTACATTCATCATTAAAAGAGGGAAGGCACTAGAATGAAGAGGAGTGGGGAAAAGTTTCCAGTAAAAGATGGGGAAGCTATGGAGACCAGTAGGCCTAGCAAAGGCTGGAGAGCATTCAGAGCCAAGAGCCGGAGGTCTTGTTTGTGGAACAGCCAGGCCAGTCACTGGATCTTCCCCGTCAGAGAGTCAGCTGTAAGAAGACTGGAAAGGGCTAGGTTGTGGAGGGTTTTGAACACCCCACAGAGCATTTCGTACTTGATCCTGGAGGCAGCAGGGAACTACTGAAGTTTACTGAGGGGCTGGGGTGGGGGTAGTGTGATGTGGTAGGACCTAAACTTTAGGAAAATTGTTTTAATGGCTGAATAAAAGCTGAATTGGAGTGGGGAGAGAGAGACTTGAGGCAGGAAGACCCACCCAGCAGGCTAGTGCAGTTACAGTTGATGGAGGTTAAAAAAAAAAAAGGGCTCCCTTTTAGTGTTAGTCAGTCATTTAAAAGTTACAGAACTGTGCACCATTTCCAGTGGGGAGATCTATAGTTAATTAAATAAAAACTGATTGGTTGTGTCTAACTGCCCTGGAAAACTGCAAAAAACCCGATCAAAGCTGCAGCTGAAATAACTGATGAGCAGCAAGGCTGAAATGTTAGAGTGGGTCTAAACCAAAAAAATACTGTGTTAATCCAATTTACTCACAAAGTTGGCTGAACTTTCCTTTTCACCCCAATCTGAATTAGTTTAATAAATACCCTCTGAAAGAGACAGTGTATCAGAGAATTTTTATAAATGCTAAATAAAGTAATTTGCTGCCGCTAATAAAACAAAGTAGTATATATTCTACTTAGTGATGTAACACTCCTTTAAAATGTATCCATTTCAGATCCAAGTGGTTTAGAGTGCTCAGAAACTTGTTATTGGCTTGAATAAGCCAAGCCTAACAAATAATAAATTAGGTCACGTGAACTAGGCACATTCATATTCTTTCCCCAGGAAAAACTCCCTCTAGGGAACCAGGCTCTAGCCTAGTTCCACATTTGCTTCTCTCCCCACTTTGCTCCTGTGTTGCCTTGCTCTAAGAGGAATGGACCCACGTTGTTGCTTTACTGAGTCTGGAAGCAAGGGCTTCCCATCCTCACTCTGTCTCCTCTGGGACACAGGGAAAGCCAGTTCACCTCCTGGGCCTCAATTTCCTCATCTATAAAGTGGAGAGTTTGAACCTGGCCTCCAAGGTCCCTTCCAGCTAAAGCTATGACCCTGGTCTTTGGGACTTTATAAAGGGAGGAGATGCCACGTTCACATGCTGGACTGCACACGCCTTCTGTTAAATAAGGAGAATGTAGTGTAGAGGGGATAGACAGCTGGCTGGGAGAACCTGGACTGAAGTCCCACCTCTGACATGTATTGACCATGGGACTTTGGGCAAGTCACTTAACTCTTCAGTGCTCTAAGCCACTGAAAGTGCTAAGAAGGAACTGACTTCATCTGTAGAAGGAGTTTCCTCTTCTCACAGAGAAATTATGGGTCCAATCCTAAACTTACCCATATATAAATTCAAATTGCATGGTTACACTTCCGGCATGCGTATGGATAGACAGAAATAAAGATGAACAGATGAATGCTAGAGCAGCTTATGCCATAAGGGGATCTTCAGGTAGGGGGAAAAAAAAACTCCAAAGCAAAAAAAAAATCACCATCAAGATTTGATGATAACAACAAGTACGTGGTGCTAAAGGCTTGTAAAGTGCTTTACATATATTCTCCTTTGGTCCTAACAGTAATCCTGTGAGGCGGGTGTAATTA